ATTTCCCCCTCACAAAAAAACATAGATGTGTTATGCAGCACATTCAATTCAAATCCAAAATTTCAAGTAAAAACACCAAATGAAAAAGTCTCTTTAATTTTTGTGTAGTTATAACGAGTGAGGAATCACTGTAGTCCGCCTTGGGTACATATAAATACTTGAGTGTTTCTAAGTACCTATCGTGTAGCGCCAATCTGTCTGGCCCGAATCAAATTTTGACAGTTTTAAATAACGTAACAGCAGCGGTTTGAGAATACGTAAGTAGTTTGCATTTGCATCCAAGATTTTTTTAAAGATACAAATATTGACTGACTATATGCTGTCTGATCACGATGGTAAGCCATCGGAGCCGCCCATGGATACATTGATGAGTTACAAGTGCGTTGTCGGACTTTTTGAGAATAGAGCTAAATAAGGGTATTGAGTAAAGCCGCGGGTCAAACGCTATAAGGTGCCGCGACCTCGATCTGGAGCAGAAGGAACGGGAGTGTTTTTGGGAAGAGTCATGAAGTCATGTGATGATTTTCCCTCCTCCAAAACAGTGGTTTGTTGAGGATAAGGTAGATATGGAGCATGACGGCAATTATCAAAATATTCGATACCTTGTTAAGGTTACCTGATAATAACCTTAACAAGGTATTCACTACTTATATAGTCTTTTGTTGCTAGAACGATCACCGAAACGCTATTAAATTGAATCTTTTCTGCATCATTGTATCGCTTGAAGCTTCTTTGTACATGGTACATCCTTATAGAAAGGATCAATAGACAAATGCCATGATATTTAACTGACCTTTTTACTGTTTATTTTAACCCGGATGAGAGTTGATAGTTTTAACTATGTTAGTGACAACAAGCGCGGAACTTACAGCCCATATAGGGATTATTAATTAATAGTTAAGAATGCGCGCAAAAACTTTGAGATCCGCCTTATTTCGGTCATCTTAAGTTATTTAATTTGCGTCACCGTTCACGGCCCTGTAACATTTTATCTTACGCAATATCACTGGATATTACAGCTTGGTATTATGCTTTCTCAAATGCTATAGACCTATTTCAGAACGGAACTCCTTCGTGACAATCGTGACTCACATCTAGCTGGTCATTTATCATTAATTTTATTATAGACTTGTCTGTCGTACTAACTTGTAAGTACCTACTAAGTTTTCTAGACCACAGTCCGGAACTCGCTGTGATTTATTTGTTATGTTTTCGGCTTACTCACGTAATAATTTCGTTTCGTCGAGATACTCGACTAGTTTCAAGCCATGCTAGAGGCCCATATTCATGAGCAGCATTCCGCGACACGCGACTCGGCGACTGTCGCGCTGCTACTGTCTGTCGCTGTGATTTGTCTTCATAGCAACAGAGAACGATAGTAGGTTTATCTTCAGTTGGCAAATATTCAATTTTTCAAGCAAATGGATATCCTATTACTAAGTAGGTAACACGGTACCACACAGAAGCTTATATCCGCATTGTTCCTTCACACACATACCAACTCCGTTTTAGGCTCATAAAATTATAAATTAAAATCATCGACAAAGGAATTCCTTTGACAATTTAAATAAATAAAATATACTACATCGTAATTCTCAAGTTACGTATACCTACATAATTTGCAAATATTTCTGATAGGCATCTCTATTCAAATTTGAATGGTTGATAATATGACAAGTAACGTAGGTGATCGACCGAAGCTTTGCAAGACGTATTATTTCGCTAAAATACTTAGGTTTTCCCACACAAGGAATCTCCCATCAAAATCTCCAACAAACAATTATCTATTCAACACTGAGTGATTTGCTGTAATTATAAGAACTTTTTATGTTACTAACTCACATTCGAAGGATTTGGCTTCATTTAAATCAATTTACAATTTTGACTTGGAATAAATGAACTATTGTAATAATTCTTATTTCAATTGGCACCAGATTCAAGTGGCCTACAATTAATGCCCGAAAAAACAGATTTTAATTTAAAATCCCCATGTAGATACCGTTCAACGTTTGAATGTCCATACTATAATTTCAAAATTCGACCTCAATCCAAAAAGACTGTTATTATTTTTTATCGAAGATAACATTTGTTTTTTTTTATGTCGTAATTAAAGCGATCAAAAAATTACATGATATGATTGACGTGGAAGATTTCATAGATATAACATTGGAAAAGATATCTAAATTGTTTATTGTGTGCCCCGGATTATCCAATCTCTTACGTCCTCAGACCAATGAAACCTACTTAGGTAGGTTACTACCTACGTCTTTTCAATGACACAACGCGCCATTACATATGTATTATAATTGCAATTCTCACGTTTTCTCACGTGTCTGAAAGATGTCAATTGCAATTAACTATGCAGCAAATAGGTAATCCTTCTATTGAGAGACCGGGGAAATGTAATATAGTGTTCTCATAAAATATGAAGGTGAAACAATCCTAGAAAGTCCATTAGATTAAACAAATTCTAATTTTTTTTTTTTTGAAAATCCAACATTATTGTGTATAGATTACGTAGGATTTAGTTAGACGAGATATTCATGGGACACAGATACGAAAATTTTACGAGCAAAACACTAACATTTCTCCGAAAAATCACACATTTCGATTAATGTGTGAGACAGCTTTTTAAACGTTAGGAAACGGGCAACTACTTTTGCACTTCTCCACGACTTACCTAATCAGTTTCCTTCCACTGCGAAACAGGACTCGTCACTACGGTCAATCAGCTCTTTGCAATTGCATTTAACCACTCGCACCACGCGCACTTGCTTGAACAGGATATCGAATGGCGTTAAGCCACGGTCTCCTCTGTAGAACATGTCTACTCCAGCAGCCATCGGTTCTAGAACAGATGTGACCAGCAATACCTCCTAAGCATGCTAGAATACGTGTCAATTAAAATAAAAGAAAGACAACCGATAGGAAATATGAGGAAGGATATTGTCCAGTAATGCTACACAATCACGATTATTCGCTATTGCAAATAATATTGTCGGTCAATCTCTTAGATAGGTACGCGTACGGAACTGAAACCCAAGGCTTTGTTTATTGTAATTGAGGCTGGATGCGAGATAATGATCGAAAGGTAATCGATTAGGTTTTGTATTGTAACGCTATTGATAAGTAGACTATGTATACATAAGAGTTAATATCAACACCTTTTTTTGTTAGAGGAAAATCATCAAATGACTTCTTCCGCCCAGGGCTGGGCGGGAGGGTGTGTCAGACTCTTACTGACTAAAAAGCCTGTTCCTTCTCCTGCTCTTGGCCGAGGTCGCGGTGCCTCATTGCGCTTACCCCGCAACCCCGGCTGAACATTAGCCCTATAGGGCCCCGTCTGTGGTGGTGAGGCGCGCTCGGGACGCTACGCGCAGCATTCGTGGCACCTATCACTTCAATCGAGGGCTGAGGCATAACTATGCCACACTTATGAATATAGAGAAGTCTCATACCCGCACCGTATAGAACAGCTCTTTACGCAATTTGCTTGTTCTGCGATTTTTGCAGTCCATTTGTGTTTGTAGGTACCTATCTACATGTATTGCGGTAACGGAACCGCACAGTTTCAAGTCACGACTCGCTCATCTGAGCCACGTGCCTCCGCAAGTCTGTGCGATTCGTGTGTACAGCACCTTAGAGGAATGCCGCCCGCCTCCCGCTGCGGACGACCGGTGAAGTCACACGCGTACTACGCATTCCAAGCATTCCTAGGAGTTATGTTACAAATAAGTCAGTGAAACCTGATATTTAATCTAATAAAAGGATCGAGGCGTACACGGATATAGATGTACGATTAGGAAAATTTTAGAAAAAAATGTCTAACTTTATATTTTAGCAAGATTTAGGTAACCGTAGATTATTGAAATATCTTATGCAGTACAATTAACGTGGACATGTCGGCCACGTTAGTTGTTCTGCATTCGTATCTTGACAAATTGAAAACAGTGTGTTCCGAAATTCAATTTATTTATTTAATAATTGATTTCACTATGTACCTAATAGTAAATTATAAGGAATTAATTACATCACCCTGCTAAGGCAGCAAACTAACCTACAACTTAATTTTAATTATATCTAACATTACTAATAGATACCTACCTGTCCTTCTCGGAGTCGTTTATTTGTCTAGTTCGAACCGCCACGGTTTCAAAAGGGCAGATAAATCCTAACTGCAGCCACCCTCAAAAAAATTTCGGCAAATCTTGCTTGAAGCACAAAATTGCACTAAATACCTACACTAGATATGTTAAAATTTTTGGAATTCTTAAAGAGTGGACCCATTACAACGGCAATCCGATGCAAATATTTGCACAACATTATCATACATCCAATCTATGTCAATAGAATTTGTTTCGTATGCCTATGCGGATTCTCGGAGATTCCGGCTCACTACCAAGTATTTATTACGTTTCGACACGATCTCTGCATGTTTTTGCTTGTATGTTTTTATTATAATTTCCCACGGGTACAACGGTAGAATAGTAATTCATTCGCTCATTTATAAATATAGGTATAGATACTTAGTCGTAGACACGAATTACGGCCTTGTAAGCAAACGTTGAGGGAGGTCATTTAATGTCCTTTGGGTAATATTTATTTTATTGTAAGAATTTGCTTTCGCATCATACCAGTAAGTTGCATCAGTTGTAAGCAATCGAGTTATGATTTTCCTTACTCAAGTGCTGACCAAACCAATCGTTGATCTGACGTCTAAATGCGCTAATAACTCCATTGCGGTTGGCCTGTTCATTCATCGAATATATCTCATTGTCGTTACATAAGAAGACAAAGTTCAGGGCCAGCTAGCTTCATCGCGGGTCATTTTCACTTGGGCATCAGGCGCTTGATAAACAAGGCGTGTCTAGATTGTTGGCTCGGAGGCTGCATCCGGGCCACCGCAGGGATCAAGTTACGGCGGGGGCGTGCGAATGTCAAGGAACCCTAGCGTCGCGTCGCGAGGGCCTGCGCTCAAGCTCTCGTCAGTCGCAGCCGACATGTGCGCCCGCGCGCCCGCCGCCGCCGCGCTCTGTTCTCTCGCCGCGCTCGCAGCTCTCGTACCGATCGACAGTGAGTAAAACTAGCTAAACATACATCGAATAAACGCACGTCTACTTTATTTTCAACTTGATATTAATAAAAGATAACAAATTTACATGACCTATCGAAGACTACCAACAATAGGAAAGTGTAATTGAATATAGTATGTGTTAAAATTATATTTTCATTTTTTCAGGTGTCGATGGATTTGAGTGTACCAGAGACGGTCTCCACACAGACTATGATCAAAATTGCCAAAAATATGTACGTTGCAGCAATGGTGCAGTAACCGGTAAATATTCGTGCCCTGACGATCGGGTGTTCAGTGAAGCCGAGGGTGCATGCGTACCGCGGGCTCGACGACCCTGCGTGCGTCGGGAGTGTACGTCCACAGATACACTTGCATACGCAAGCCCTGGCACAGCTTGTCGGCAGTATTACCGATGTGAAAATGGTACAGCGATAGAACGCAGCTGTCCTACGGGAGCATGGTTTGACCTGGAACGCCAAGCATGCACTCGCGGCGCCGGCACCTGCTTCGAGCCGGTGTGTGCGGGGCTACCGGACGGAGAGTACCCCGACGCGTCGCACGGCTGCCGGCGCACGCTGCGCTGCCGCGGCGGGGAGCTGCGCGCCGTGGCGTCCTGCGGGCCGCGCTACGCCGCCGTCTGCCCGCCGCCGCGCGCCGCTGCAGCACCGTTGCCGGCCGGTGACGCAGACTTCTGTTCCGATGAGACTTGTTCCTCGTTGTGCCGTGACATACCTAACGGGGCGTACGCAGATCGCACGACCAGCTGTCGCGAGTATTTTGTTTGTGAAGCGCATCGAGTCATCCGGCGCGGAGTGTGCGAGCCCGGCCTCTTGTTCACTAACGGTGCATGTGAGCCAGCGGCACAGTCATTGTGTCCGCCACCCGCACTGAGCCCGTGCTTCAACAGGCACGACGGCCTGCACAGAGACTGGAACGACTGCGCCTCCTGGTTCGAGTGCAGACGTGAGCAAGTAGTGAAGCGCGGCTCATGTGCACCAGGATTCGTGTTCGATGGCAATGGTTGCACTCCATCCGATAATTTTCTTTGCGATGGCCCAGCGCTGTCTATACAATGTGAAGGGCTTCCGAGTGGCACTTACCAAGATCTGGACTCCAATTGTACTCGTTACTTCCACTGCGAAGGTTTACACCGAACCACGCTAGCCTGTCCGCCGGGGCAGGTGTTCGATGGCGTAAGCTGCTTGCCAGCGTCACATTACCTGTGTCCAAGTCTAGAACGCGAGTCGTGCTACGGACGACCGGACGGACGATACCGTGCTGCAGACACGGGCTGCAGGGGCTACTACGAGTGCGTGCGCGGGGAGAAATCTATCTACGCGTGTCCTACAGGCCTTGTGTTTGATGGCGAGTCTTGTGTTCCAGCGAAACCTGGATTGTGTAAGCGAGAAGACCATTCGTGCGACGGCCTCTCGAATGGCTATCACGCAGAGGTCGAGTCAGGATGTCGAAGGTAAATTAACAACACTAAATTACATGTTTTGGTATCTTTTGAAACAACAGTTTTTTTATTATATACATAATTATATGATAGGTATGTATAAGTAGTGTAGAAGACCCTATAAATGTATATTCAAGATATTTGTGTAGTCTATTGACATTTATTATTTTTGCATGTTTCCCATTTTAAGGTAAAACAAAAAATTATAAAAAGTATCTATTATTGCACTTTTGCAATGTGCGATATTCTTCCACTGAGATTACAGTAAGATATCTACTAGATCATCAGAATAAACAAAGTGTAAACGTGATATACTTACCTACCTTCCTACATAACATACATAACATACATAAGCGTACAGTGTCTTTGACATTTTTATGCATAGTACCTTCGTTATGTAAAAGCTATTGTTTCAGGGGTTTACAATTATTTTACCACATTATCGCCTTCGTCAGAGGAATTAGTAGTTGACAACACATTACTACTTTCAGGTACTTTTACTGCGAGCGCGGCGACCGGCTGGTGACCCTATCGTGCCTGGGCGGGAAGACGTTTGATGGTCGCGCGTGCGTGAAAGAGTCGGAGATGTCGTGCGGCGGGGCGCGGGGGCCGGAGGAGGGGGCGCGGTGCTCGCGCGACGGGTTCTTCGTGCAGGCCGGGTCGGCCTGCCGCCGGTACTACTTCTGCGTGGGGGGGGCGCGCACGGCGCTGGCCTGCGCCGCCGGCCAGCGCTTCAACGGCCAGCTGTGCGTCCCGCGCGCGCAGTACTCGTGCCCCGGCTGAGCCGCGCCCGCCCCGCCCGCCGCACTGGGCTCGCTCACGATGTACCTGATTCTATTTATTCGAGGCTGTGACCCACAGGGACCCGCCGCCCGGGCCCCGCCGCCACGAGCGCTATGATCACACCAGTCCACCACAACTACCTCCTACTTGACAATAAGACACGATTACTTCTTACTTTTTATTGGCATAGAAACTTCAAGCGACCTAGATACTTCTAATAGTAATTACACATTGACTATATATTACAGTATTACTTTACAAACGAATAATAAGCTCCATGAATAGAAAAATAAAATCTCTTTTAACGACATAAAAGAATAGTTAATTTATTTATTTATATTAAATATTAATATTATAATAGATACTTCCTCGACCTTAAATTAATACAGATTATAAACGAATCCTCGCCAAAAATATATCGAATGATAATATTTGTCATATTGGAGGATTCACTACGTTCTAAGACCACTATTTAAGTCCTTCAATACAAAAAATATTATCACCAAGTTAAAAATAGTTTTACACTTTAAAGTATATGATAATTAATAAACGAAACATAAACAAACAAACGTATTGTATTAACGTGCAATATTCGTAAATCTGTTGAATATAAATAAGTATCTAAATAATTTTGGCATTATTCATAAATAGGAAAGCATTTCTAAATAATGTACATAGTATAATATTACGTATTTAATAAAGATTTTAAGTTTAAATTTCCGTGTATATTATTTATATGGTGGGGTCTAGCGAGAACGTCATAATTACGGAGACGGAATTGTATTATAATATACGGCATTATTTTATAATTTACCTAGAAATGTTAAAAAGATCAAGTGACGCATGACGTCACAAATATCCGTATCCATGACTATCTCGACCTAAACACCAACCAGTAACACTAACATTTATTTTATACATTTTTATACAACACTCAATTACATAATTTTTAAACGTTTTTTTTTTCTGACCTACTCGGACACTTTTAACGATTGTTTTACTACATTTATACAAGACCTTTTTATATAAATTTTCAATTGGTCCACGCCAGATTAATGACAAGATTCACTTGCACGATTTCGAAAGGAAATTTATAAGATATCAACATGGTGAAAATACGGGCGCGGCCAATCGGTGCGTTCAAAAGCTAAGCACTAATGCGTAAGGACAGCACTATTTATTCGTTGAAAATATTGCAAATAAAAGAAAAAATACTTAAAAGAGTGAATCGACACAGAAAAAGCACCTTTCCATTAAATTCCCGATTAGATCGTTACTTTTCTATACAATAATAATGTCGATAAATGAGAGTGCACATCACTGTTTTACATAAGGGGTAATTCATATATAATATTTATTGTCAGATTCAATAGTTTAATTAAATAGGCAAAGTACATACATTTTTAACGACAACCGTACCTTGTAACGCATACTTAATAAATTAATATGCAATTGGCTCGATTTACGAAAATATTATATTTAAAAATAAGACATTAAACAAGACTATTCTTAACAAATATAATTTTCAAAGTTGCATTGTCACAATTTTTTATATTTTGATTATAAAAATATTTTTTTATAATTAAAGAACATTTTGATACGAAACAAGCAATTGCCTTGATTAACTAATTAATTAATGTCTTTAGCAATGCCGATATTGGAATACAAATATAATACATTGGAATAAATTATACTTTCATAAAATGACGATTAATATTTAAGTAATACATAACTAATTTAATATATTTATACGTTTAACGCAAATATAGTCGGACGAGCTCTAACAGCATATGGTTTTCAGCAAGGATACTTTTGTATAGTAGTATTTATTTCTCTCAATAATTAATTAGGTAATATTGTAACTAGCCATAACAGAGTACCCTTGTTGAAAACAAAGATCAATTGTTACGAAAACACCCACATAAACTTTACTTCATTACAAGTCAGCTGACTGAAAAAAAGACTATTTGAGCTGAATTATGTAGTTGTTATAATTTTAGAAAGTTTTTAAGAATGTGCTAAGTTTAGTCGACCTACCTAAAAATGCAATGCTGCTACGAAGCTTATAATTATTTTGGACTAGAGCAGCTCAGCACATGCTTTGAGAAGAAGACATATAAAACAAAATGGCCGTACAATGAAGGTAGATCATGTGGATGCTTGTTACACCCGAACTGGTTGTAACGTGTAACAAACACGTATTGTAACAAACTTACAGTTATATCGAGAACACAACTAGAATCAACTCGGTTATCATTCACACGTCTCTTGCTTAAGAAAACATTGTTCCAATTTACACTAGACAACTTCAAGTAAACAAATATTGACTGTGAACCGTCGTACTAGACGAAAACTAAGATATGAAACAAAAAACTATGACAGACTTATTTACACGAAACGTGTGGAAGTATTAGATTACAGACGATTATTTTTGATCACACATACAAAATAGTTTTGAGATCTTCGTCTCTTTATAATTCATATAATAATTATGATGACACACACATATATTTTTAGTTTTACTATGAATAATAAACGACACGCCATATTTCTGAAATGAAAATCTCAGTCTTACCTCACGACGAGTGATAAAAAGCAAAACTTTCGTTGGATTATCATCAACAAACATTAGATACACATTAAATAATAATATTATAACGACGATAACATTAATGCAAACAGCCCGATGGAAACAATTCTCATTGCCATTAGTTTTTACAATACAACTTATAGAAGCTGTATCAATAACACATATATTGCAAATGTTTTTGCATAAATAACAATAGAGGTAACACTCTTGCGCAATCCATTGCGCAAAGGTTGCGCAAAAATATGTATTTTAATACGACGCCTAATGCTGGTTACATTTTACAAAAGGTACTTTATCTAATTTCAAATACCGGCTATTCTATGAATAACAATTTCAATTACTTTTTAATGTGTTAGTAAAGAAAGCGACATACGTGTTATTGATCAGTTTCTGTGATTGGCACGCGTTACTGGTCGGCGGCGGTGGAAGGTTTGGGCGCGGGGGCGAGCAGTACTCCGACATCCCAGACCTTGATGACGCGGTCCTTGCCCGCCGTACACATGCGGCCCGTCGCCTCGTCCATGTATAGGGACGACACTGCGTGCTTCATGTCGTGGAATGAAGCCAGCGATTCACGACTGAAAACAATAATATTTTTTGTAGTTGATGGAGGCCAAATTAACCGACGGGTCACCTAATGGCGAACAACCTACACCGCTCATTGATTGCAACAACCGAAGAGTTAAAATTGCGTTACCACCCTTTTGGGGTTAGTTAGGGATTTGAGCATTAGGTAAGGGGATCGAAACTGGACTGGACTGGACTAGATCTGCGAGAACCTAACGACGAAACAAAACGTAAGTGTTGGATGTACCAGAAATTAAACAAGAAATATTATTGAGCATTTCAGGTTATTAAAATCAAGAAATATTAGTATTTAGCTACAAGCTTAGAACCTCTTGTAAAAAGTAAGTTTTACGTTGAAGGAATAAATCTATGTTTTAATATACACAAAGCATAATCTTGAGCCTCATTATTGCCGTTTTATATAAATAAGGCCTTCGACAGCAGCCTTCGTTTCTATCTATTATGGCGGTTTTCCTGTTCAGCGGTTATTTACAAACAATACACGGATAAACTAAAATACAAACTGACTGTCTATCTGATCGACTAGATAATATGTTATTTGAATTTAATTGTATTGATCCATTTATTCGCTTTTGTATTTCGCATGACATTTTGCAGTTTAAATTACCAAAGCACATAACACGCACGTCTGTCCCACAGGAGTACACAGATATTATAGAGAGCTACGTAATACAATTCTTATATACATTGTTAACTTCCATCATACTTATGCATCTAGTCTTACAATATCTCCAGTGAAATTAATTTGACGGGAAAATACTCACTGAAATATGACGTTACCATTATGTATAATTATTATTATTGAACAACTTTTGTACTATATTCAAGCAAATTCATTATCTTATCTAAAAAATTAGAAAGTGTTACGGTAAAATAGTACTTACGGCTCATGCCTCAAGGTTTCGTAGCAGGTGGTGCAGACACGCTGCGGGAACTCGAACCCCATGACGGGCAGCGGCAGGCGGTGCGGGGAGCATGTCGCGCATACAGCCGCCCCGCACCATCGGCAGTGGTGCTGCCGGAGACCTGCAATACAACGGACCTTTATACAAACTTCTAATATTATTATGTATGTACTAAGCAAAATAGTAACCACGACTCAAACTTTTTCGATGATGCTCGACTAGTTTCGAGCAACACTAGAACTCATAAACCTGGGTAGGGTGCTCGTTTTAAAATGGCATCATCAATCACAGGTAGCTATCAACTTACTCGAAACTGATCGAGTACGCTTGAAAATTTTAGCTACATCTTAGAGACTAAGTCCATATCTTAAAAACTTAATTTCTTACTGTCCCCAGCTGATTCTACTATTACTATTTTTGTAACTATCAGTCGGAAGCTCTCAGGAATAGGAGGCGGAAACAGTTGGCAGGAGGCCAGGAGATCAAATCAATATTGGGTCAACAAGCATATAAAGTATTCTGCTGGTACTTTTAGCCGTTGAAACAATATAACATATACGTATTTTTAAAAGTCAAACATCATACCAAGTTGTTTTTTCTCCATCATCGCTCTCACGTTCCAAATGAAGGGGGCGCGGCATAGCTGGCAGAGGTCTGACTCCTTCCAAGCAGGGGTCTCACGTCGGCGGACCCCCATCTCCCAGACACCAAGGGCCCCATCTTCACCGGCAGATATCAGCCGTTCACAGCTGCCCACGTACCAAAGACCTGTCACCTTGTTACTGGAAAAATTTAAATGTATTGTGACGGAAAAGTGGTTCGAACTCTTTGACATCTAAGTCTAAGAGTTGAGTTCTAAGTCTAAAGCGATTCGGAAGAAAAGGAAGAAGTGAAAAGAAGAAAAGTGAGTGAAATAGTGAAGTGCAGTCAGTTAAGTGAGTTAAGTCAGCGTGAACGGCAAAGTTGTGTCAGTCGGCCGGACTCTGCTGGAGAGGAACGCCGATAACTTAACTCCGTGGACGCTGTAACTTAAGTGCAATAGAAAGTCTGAAAACCGGTATTAGTGTTTCATTTCATCCAATCCCGTAACCCAAGCCCGCATAGTCAGGAACGTGACGTCAGGCACGTAACAGTATCTTCAAACAACTTTCTTGTTTCAGAAAAAGCGATTTGATATTTTCTAAGCACATAATGTAAAATGATGCGACCTTTTCCGCAGTTACACCAAACATTCTATGCAATAGAAAGGCGCCCCCAAATTACAAACACTGGATAATCAAAGTTGCGAAAATCAATAAAGCTGATAATACAATTAGGTTTTACCTAGTAATTGACGTGACTGAGATCTAAAATCGTATTAAATTAGAATTATACATTACACGCATTGAAGTTTAAACATGTACAGGTAAATATTAAATGCCAAATGCAAATTATAGAAACTCTGGACATTGAATGTGGCGGGCGACATTAGCCGACCAAATTCTCAAGCTCTGCAACATATTATAACTTAGTTCATTTTCTCACTTTTTTGAGCGATTTTCGCAAAAGTCTTCTTTCAAATAGTACCTAATTCATTACACAACTACTTCAAAAGCAACATTTAAACAGCACTTTACATATTACAGTAAAGTAAATATCATAATTACCTGTGTCCTTGTAGTTCGTACGCCGTGCCCTTCTGACCTCCAATGTCCCACACTATAATTGTCTGATCAAACGAGCCACTGAACAATAGCTGCGGCAGAGGAGCCCAGTTCAATACACGGACAGAACTGAAATAAAACATTTGAAAATATAAGGCATTGTCCTATTTTTTTTACCATCACGCCTTTAATGCCTTATGAGGTAGGTAGTAAAATGTACGGTTTTACGACTAACAAGAGGCAGGTAGGTAGCGGTTAGGTAAGTACACCTAATGAGCTGAAGAAGTTTGGTTATCTAAACTACTAATATTATAAAGCTGTAGACTTTGTCTGTTTGTTTGTACGCGCTACCGCTACTATCTCCGGAACTACTGGATCGAATGGAGCAATATATTATTTATCGAGGAAGGCTATAAAAGATCACTCTTCGATCTGTAGGAGCCGGGCAGCATATTAAACTGTTCGCAAGTATATATAAAAATAACTAGAAATACTTCAAAAATGTTTTTCTTTTATTAATATTTTTAAATATTTGTTTAAAAAATTTATGAATTGTACTAGCATAGTAAAAACCTAATGTCAGTGATATTTAGAGATACACATATTATAAAATGTTGTGGCATTGTTTATTTTTTTTAACTCCTAGACTACTTTCATTATGATTATAGAAAAGTTAAAACACTAATCAATCAATCTCTGCAATAAGTGATAATGTTACATACAATTTTTGATAAGATTTATCGTTAGTTTAACAATTCATTATGACGAGTATTTTCCCGTTGTCTACGTCCAAATTGAAAAACAAAAATGGGGTTATTTAATACAATAATTATGTAAGGTCACAACAAACATCATAATAGGTACGTAACGAATATGGTTAGAGTAGAGAGTCTGGGGTCAATTTGAGCCAATTTGTTTAAAATGGGAGGAGGGCCGTATGCTTTCCCAAAATTCTACATAAATTGCCTAAGGAAATAGCCAAAAACGTTGATTATAAAAAACCTAGACATTTGAAGAAGAAAAATATGGTCGGAAACGTTGGCAAGGGAGAAACAACTAGGAACTGGCCTAATATGGCAGGATTTGTGAGCAGACCATTAATTAATAGCACACGTAATCTTATACCCAAAAAATTGAGCGCTGTTATTAAGAAGTTTATTGTAAATAGGTACTCTTAATTTGAAATAAATAGTCTTAACAATACATTTTAATTTTTTTTTTACAATACCGTGGCACATAATTCACACCTTTGGAGTTACTCACCCTGTATGACCTTTGAGCGTAGTGACGAGCGTAGCACCATTGTTATCCAACTTCAGCATCGTTATCTGCCCGCTGTAGTCTCCGACAAAGGCATATTTCGACTGCGAGTCAAATCTGACGGGATACATTCAGGAAATACGTTGTTTGTGATAATTTCCTTTAATTATCTCTAAATACATATTGTGTTCCTATGAATAAACATAGCAGATATTTTTTAACGCTTTTTATTGATCACTGCTCTTATAACGTTTAGTACTATTTCCAAAGAAAATTCATCATCATTCTTGAATAGCTCAATGAAGGACATGAAGGAATAAACTTAACATATAGTTTTGTTTAATAACACATTTTTTTACATCAAAATAACCTAACTTAAACTACTATAAAATAGTAATTATTGAATAAAAATTCATTTTGGAAAGGATACTGCAAAGACGTGCACCATGCTTCGAAAGAATATCCACCAATCCTGCGTCCAGTCTCGCTGCAATGGTATGCAAACAGCTTGTCTCGACTGACAGACAAAACCCACTCGCAACTCAGCGAGAAGTTGACAGCGGTCACTCGAGCCGTGTGCGCTAAGTACTCCCGAGTCTATAAGAAATAAAGTTTATTACAATAACTATATCAGAAATCAAAATATATATATATATATATATATTCTTATTAGACCATAGTTGAGTGCTGTTGGACTATGGTAAGCAGTGGATGGGAAAGGGTGATAATGATAATGATTACAATACATAGAACATTATTAGCTTTTCATTATAGATTTTTAAACCTTGAATGCACCTTTCCCTAGGATGAGCAGAGAATATAACAGTCAACACAGTAGGCTGCGCGACGTCGCCGCGTCCGCGCACGCTGCTCATGAGTAAGAACCCCTCTGTGGTTCGAAACTAGTAGAGCTTTTCTCAACATGTACACGTGAGTAACCCGCGAATTTTAGTTAATTTAGTATGTCTCACGATAGTTATTATAAAAAAAAAATATAACAGTCTTTGCAATAGACTACCTAGAATTAACATTTCTCTGAATAAGTTTTAATATCAGTGACAGAGGTATGTAGTGACCATAGGGATGTGTAAATTATGTGATCGCTATTATTGGTTCTTTAATGTTGTCAATTTTATTCATCATATTATTAGTAGATTATCTCTTTTCTTCTTCTCTTAAATAAATAAGTTGTCTATGTATGAATACCTGTAATAGGCATGGTTATTTGGTCTTTGGTTGTTATATTTATTACTAGTATATAGTTAAGTGATATGACACAAGTGTTTAAGCCTTTGACTGCCGACCGAAAACGATTAAAAGCAAATCCTCCGCTACCGTAGGTCACCGGTGACCTACGCGGCGGTTAACGTGTTAAGGGACTACAGTCCATAATAGTGTATATCATTTAAATTTATTCAATAATTTTATATGTCATAACCCGGCAAACAAGCTTTTGGGTCACCTAGTGGTAAGCAATAAGCACCTCCTATGGACATCCGTAATACCAAAGGAGTATCTCCAAGTGGGCTGCCTCTTGTGGGTTATAAGGGATTTATGGAATAAAGAACTGACATTTATTAATTTTGATCTAAGTATGTCTTTAAAAAGTCAATTTACATATTATTTATGCAAAATACACTGAAGTGATAAATAATGAAATGAACACGGTACAAAACACACATTAATTGAAATGGTTTCACTATCTGCGTGAAATGGAGCCAAGGTTAGCAACTTGTACAGGAAACAATTTCACTTGTTTTAATAGGAGCCTATCTAAATAGGATTACAACTTGATGTTGAACTTAAGGCTGCATTGAAATGAATACTGATTTTAAGTACTGACTTTAAGTACCCATAACAATGATTCCACTATCTTTTATTTGAATTTAAAAGATTTTTTTATGTAGGTAATAATGTCAGGCCACTTAAGTCAGATAATTTTGCAAATCTTTAAAAACCTCCATACAAAAAATGTGAAGCTAGTCCTAAATCAAATCTGAGAAACCATCCTATAAGAATCTACTTCTGAAGTAGGAATAAAGACCAAATAGAACAAAGATAACAAATATTATAACAAATGAGCAAATATTAAATAGTTTTATATCTTATGTTCCTCATTTATATTTTTGATAGAAAGTCTGAATATTTACTTTCTAGTACCTATAATATAATTTCTATTGAGTTTCTCAGAGATCAGTCCAGTGATTTTGAATTAGTTTTAATTAGAAACCAATTTGGCCTGTAAGCATACATTATGAAATAATATCATTTCATCATATACACTTAAAAAAAGGGTTGTTTATTTTAATGCAATAAATCAATTAAAAACTAAATAGTATTTTTTAAGAGTGACTTACTGGGTTTATTCTATTACAATCTTGTGCCAATGTAAACTCTGAGACTGTTCCATTTTCCTGACCAATAAAGAGCTGTCTAGTCTCTGGTGTGTAGAACATTGAGGTGCAGCCTGAGGGCATGTATTGACAAATAGATGGCCAGTATGGTCCAGAGTCCCTCTTCAACCATACTCGCACTGTCCTGAAATAAGTATTAGTGTTTATACATTTATATTTTTTAATTTAGAAATTAATCCACTGTATATTTTACAATTACAGTTTACTTATGGACCAAGCATTCATTTACTCATGCTCACTGCAATTATTTCATTACATCAATTAACTTCCTAATCATTACATTGCTATTAAAGTAAACTCCAACAATTACTAGACAATAGGTCACGACTTGAAATTGTATTAAGTACATATTGTATTTACCACCCACATATGGGGGTGATTTTTAATATGTTGACAGTTCTAATGTAGGTACAAACCAAACATTTTTTCCCAAATTTAATGGAGATAACAGATTCCTGTTATCAAACAATGGACGAAATATGAGTCAGAACCCTTACTTATCATCACAAACGCTAATTACACCGTCCTCGCCAGGTATAACGACCGCTGCGTTTACATCGTCGGTGCATCCTTCCAATTTACTCAATAAGGCAGGTTTTTTTGTAGTAGAAAACCTATCGTTTGGTGTCCTTGGAGCAGGCTTGATTTCAGCAGCCATATTTCAACGTTTTAAATAAGAATTATTAAATAAACACGATAATTCGCCACTACTACTTTCAGCGAAAAGAAAACGTCATAATAATTTTGACATTTACGTTTTAGGGACTATTCTTAAACACTTGAAACGGTTTATTGGAAACGTTATTAAATTACAAATAAAACACCAAGTTTCAAAATTTATGGATAACGATAAAGGAATGTTACGTTATAAAACTGTTGCTACTTTAATCATAATTAATTGTTTTAATTAAAAATATTTACTAAAAGATTTCATTGAGACAAACATGGAAGTGAGAATAGACCTTCAAAATCCATTACACGCAGTAACAAAATGTTGTTGTTTGTTGTACTGAATTGAATGTATTCCTAGCACTAATATCACTTTCCTGCTACGATTTTGGCTGAGTGCTCTGTTGTATATCAAAAATTGCCAACATGGTAAAAAAATCATATTATTATGATAAGTGACTGCAGAGTTGCCGCAGATTGGCTGGGTAAAAGTCCCAGTGTGTCCGGATCTCAAATTAGACTCAAAACAACGAATTGATCCACGAATTTTTGTTCAAGGTTCAGATCATGCATTGGCCAGGAGGCGGGTCGTCGTGGCGGTATTTCTAGATATCGCCAACGCCTTCAACTCGCTGCCCTGGAGCTGCATTAATGACAGAGGCACTCCGGTATCACCGGGTGCCTGCCTACCTCCGTCGTAAAGTCGAGGCTCATCTACCCCAGTCACCAGGGCGTGTGGAACCGGCGAGAGATGTCGCGCTGTGTTCCACAGGTATCAGTCCTGCCTGGGACCGCTCCTGTGGAAAATTGGTTACGATTGGGTGCACCGACCTCCCGAGCAGCGTAAGCATAGTTTGTTACGATGACGACACGCTGTTTTTTGTTTGTTGTGCTAGCGAACGGGAGTTTACATCAGGTGGCGGCCGACCTTATGTCACAAGTGGTTGCGAGGGTCGTTGCAAGGATCCATCAGGTCCACTCGAGGTTGCGCGAAAATCCTCTGCCGCGAAATAAGTGCGTGGCGGATTGAGCTCCGGCGCTATCTCATTGTAGAGGGGAAGCAACGTCTGTCGCAACTGAGGACCACACTTTGAGCAGTGGCTTGAGAGACGCCATGGCAACCTCACCTTCCACCTGACGCAGATACTTACTGACTCGACTAACCCTGAGCGGGAGAAGTCATTTGATGATATTCCCCTGACAAAAGCTTCGTAAGCTGCACCTCAATATCCACGGGGGAGAGGCTTTAGCTACTCCGTGCCTCGCTCCGAATGACAGACAACTCCTCAACATCCCCTAATGTACCTAATAATAATTAATATTAATTTTGGTTGCTACAACACTAAATTATCTTATCCAGTTCATATTATTTTGTACGTACCTACCTGCCTTATTAGGTAGGTAGGTACCTCATTAGATTGCGTTGAATAATTTTTTTTTCTACTGTAGGTACCTATATAAAGAGTATGTAACCACTCCTATATACTTCAAGTTTGAAGAGAGAATGTTATTGTCAATCCAATGACAGCAAAAAAACCCAAAAATATGTTAAGTAAATATTAAAAATTATGTAAAAATATAGATAAAATTTTGGGACTTCACATTTTCTAAAATAAATGTAAATATTACTGTGACATTCAGACTAAATGTAAAGACTTAGGTAAGTACCGATATATTTTTTAAATCAGTTAGGACTCGGATAATTTTGTAATAGCTTTATTCATACTGGTGATGAATGACCTTTCGTGACATTGGTATGTTTATCTGACGATTCTGACGCTCCAGACGTCGTGGTCACTTATTTCCCATTGCGAATGTTGTCAGCCTTTATAAAATTCCATACCATCTGGTAAAAAGTTATCTACTTAATGTACTTAGATTTTATCCATAACATCGAGGAATTGTTAACAAAGTTTAATTTATGCATGAAAATGCTTTTATTAACAATCCTTAATTATTTGAATATATATTGATATCTATACATACAAAAATAATTTATTTATATGTTGAAAATTTTCAATTCCTAGTGGGAACCCTACTACTTGCCAATTCCAATTTATCAGAATACCAGAAGATAAGGGGTTATCCATTAATCACGTGATCTTTTTTTAGCATTTTTTAACCCCCCCTCCCCCATTGGTGATACGTAGTGAGGTTTAAGACCACCCCCCCTCCCCCTTCTCAACATCACGTGTATTTTTAGTACCTACAAAGAATCTTAAAATTTTATGAATATTATCTTAATTTAAATACGGGTATAAACTATAATCTTATTTTATTCTGAAATTAAGGACCATAATAAAAATATCTACACCAGGTTGAAAGTTTTTTTTTATTGCCATAACAATAATAATAAACGAAGAGTGTAATCATAGGAAAAACATGTATTGTTCTAGTACATGAATATATTTAATGTATATTGTCCTCGGACCATGGATTAGCAAGACATTCTTCAACACTAACAACTGGATAAGCATCTTGCAGGTCAGTTGTTGGCACTGTGCTTTGTTGAAAATCAACATCGGTTTCATCAAGCCACTCGGTGTCATCATTTTCACGCACAACGCAGAGAATTTCTTTCGATCTGCCGATTGATCGTCGCGTGAGGATGCGTGAAGGACGAACATTGTGCATCTCTACACTATTACTGCTCGGATTAGGTTGCTTGTGACATGAATTTACATGTTCCTTAACTTTCTTCTTTGTACAGAAGTACAATCCACACCACTGGCACGTCCTTTCCATAAGTTGCCGACGATCCTTTTGCAGACTAGGGCAATACAGGTCATACGGCAATTTGTTAAAGCCCTCATGCGTTGGGGTGATTCCAAGAGACCGACGCAGAAGAAATGTAGCAAACGTCTTGCCATCATGCTCTTGAGGCTTCGGAATACATAGACCACTAGACGACTGCAAAATTGGGTAAGGAGGTATAACGAAGCGTGCAGGAAGAATAGATCGAAGAGAACTCCGCAGATCTCCACAGCAAGCGCGGTCATCACACTTCACCACCTGGTAATGATATGAAGATATCTTAATCATATTAGATAAGAAAAGTAAATGATAAAATAATAATAAATGAAATTTTAGTATGTACCTGAAGCAAATATTGGCTCTCTCGCACATGCTCGCTATACCACTGCAGAGAAGGCAAGTCTGGAACAAAGCTTTCAGCAGTGTCATCGGGCTCGAGGTACTCTGCTACGACGTCATGGCCGTCGATAACCATATTAGTCCATACTTCTGTGAGAACTTCTCCAGCCTTCTGAAAGTTCATTTTTTCGAGATCATGATCTTTTGTTCTCCCTTGCTCATCCAAATGAGTTCCATAAAAATCATGCGGAAGTATGAGTCCAGATAATTCCCGGCTTAAAGGCGCCATTCTTCTCTCAACACGGTTGAATGCGCTTCTGCCGGGTGCATTCGTAAAAATGAATATTGCATCTAAATCATGCTTGACAAAGTGGTGTATGGCATGGGAAATAACCTTTGGATATCTCGGGTTTTCATCGGGTCCTCCATCAGATGAAATCAGAACAACTGGTTTCAGGCGTCCTTCTTCATCCCGCATAATTTCCTTGAAATTGTTAAGTGTAGCAAGCTTATTGAAGTCCACAGCATGAGTAGAAGCTGTCGAAGAGGAATGTTTGCCACTTCTAATCGCCACGTATGTTGGCCCTGAATAAGTAACTGCTTCAGCACGGCCCATATCATTTCCTTTTATGATGCACCCAGCATATACACTAGGGATCAATTTGTGCCTTGCAGCAATCACCCAATCATGATCAGGCAATGAGACACGATATTCGACATGCATCAGGAGAGGAGCTTGTTTATTTGCCGCTGTCAAACCTATAGGTACCCGGGCTTTATCATCTTGGGACAAAAAAAACACTTGTTTTGGCCCGAGAATAGATGCCAGCGTTTCCAAGGATCTTATTGTGGCGACACAAAAATGTTGATCGACATGAGCCTTATGGTGATCTGCCTCAGGGCGACTCAATTTGACAGGCACAGTGACTACATGCCTTTTACCCTCCAAGGTGGTATAATTTCTAGGGAGCAATCGAAGATACGTGCCACTCTTCGAAATTTGAAATCCGTGCTCCTTTAGCTTTTCATGGAGGTCAGTAAGTGTTCGGCAACTGCGAACAATTTCTGAGCGACGCCGTTCCTCCGCAGAAGCACCAAACATAGCCAAATCGACGATAGTTTTTAGCAATTGCGGTTGTTGCTCTTCTAGGCGTGGGCGACCTGGGGCAGAACGCGCCTTAAGAAGATCAGCTACAATCGGACTCTGATTGCAAGCAAGTTTAATCTTTGATTTTATTGATAATCTATGTGACTGGGAGTGACGCATATGTTGCTCCTTCTTCCGTAGTTCTTTTGTGCATTTATCAATTTCTCGGCGCAGTTTCGTCACATCACGTGTCTCATTTTCAGTGGCGCCCAGAAAATCCCTACGACGAACAGCTAAGTCAAATTCCATTTGAAGAAGAGAAATCTGATTCTTCAACTTATCCTGTGCAGGAGTAGCACGTACAGGCTGCAGTATAGAGCTGCTTGCACTTGGTGTATCGGGTGAATTCTCGTCGCTACAATCCAAATCTTCACCTTTACGTTTCCGAGCACCTGGAATGACCGACATTTAAACAACAAGAAAACATTGAAATTATGATTATAAACTAAATTACTAATTCTTATTTAGAATTATAATAATACTAGCTTTTCGCCCGCGACTTCGTTCGCGTGGACTTCAGGTTATATCACGCTTGGAAAAAATTCGCACATTAAAAAAAAATGGAAAAAAAATTTTGACGTCGAAAGCGTACCAGACAGACAGACTTTCGCATTTATAAGATTAGTAGAAATAAATAATCGACTGCTTAAATAATTATTGATATTGCGAATTTGGGATGTTTATTACCTGTTGAGGTGCTTTTAGTAGTGACATTGCCTTCGTCAGTAATTTCGGTACCGATCGGTGAGACGCATATCGCAGGCGTAGGAAGTTTTACAGGTAGATTTGGCTCATTGGATGTCATTGGCAAAACAGAAATTTTTTCGCTGGCATTCTGAAAATTAATAATTTAATTATTATCGTGTAAGTAAAGATAATATCGTGCAAATAAATTAACCATCTCCAGTAATTTTATTTTTTCTTTTATTAAAATAAGAGTTCAAAACGGCACACAAACCATGCACAATCCTCGCATTTTCACTAGAATAATGTATATGTAATTATATGTAGGTATGCAATATCATACTGCCACCGTTCATTAGTAGGCAAATTTTTCAGTTCAATAGTATGATCCATAAATAGTTGTAAGTTTTCACAAAGCGACAAGATATTAATATATAAACAAGCGCAAAATGTGTAACAATAGTAATATAACCTTCTCCTTTATAACCACCACGACACGGTTTATTTTATTTTTTACGTTAGATAAACCCATGCCTCATAGACAAGGTTCAGCTCAATACACCTACTTTTTTAGAGTTCAGCGATCGGTGATATGTAGGCATATGGGGCACGTGATGTTTATTCAGCATTTTTTATGGAATGGAATATAACATTCCTGTGCGCCAATGACTAGCTAAAACTAATAAAAAAATGTTGGAAGATTTAACAATAACATTTATATTACAAATAAACTATAGATGAAGTCGTATTTATTAGGACAATGCCCTTAAACAGACAAATACTAGTTATAACTTACCTTTTTAGAATTAGAACAATAATAGAGAATATTGGAAGACTTCTTTGCTTGGTGCTTTCGGCGGTAATCTGCTAGAAGATCATTCGCCCACTTCACAAATTCTTCTTTTGTAGAATATTTTTGTTTTGCATTAGCCCACAACTCATTAAATTCTTTCTGAGCAATACTAGGTTTTTTTCCTTTCTTATACTCGGCGAAAAGGTCTTTATACAAATCACCTACTTTAAACATTGTTTTAATGAAAAACGTACAAGGTAACGGTTTACGCATGTATTCGGCGCCAAAACAACAGAATAACTGGCGACTGCATGCCGAGCCGGGCGGCCGGCGGCGCGTACGCGTGAGGCCTCCGTTCGTTGCCTGGCAACGGCGAGTCAAGGTCACTACACGCCGCGCCGCCCGTGCCGCTTAATATTTGTTTAAAAATCGCGCGTTTGACGAAAAAATAAATGCACGAGATATCTTACTACACCCCCCCTCCCCCCTTGTGTTATTTTCGTGATTTTTATCAAACCCCCCCCCCCCTTTTCAAGCCTCACGTGATTAATGGACAACCCCTAAGCCATCGGTTAGCGGAGTTGCGGCACTGTTGAATTATTCTTTACTTATTCGTAAAGTGGTCGTGACAAGTGTTGGACAGTATTAAAAAAGTAAAATGCCGCACGTTTTGGTGAAACTATCGACTCAGCTCTTGGCGAAGAGCAATGTGGATTTCATGAACATTGCTTCTAGGGCAAACAGGTAATACCGGCAATATGGTTTCATATTTACGTAACATTGAATTTAATTTGTATTTAATATGCAATAATATTTCATTCTTTTATAACACAAAATTTAAACACGAATAAAGAATGTTATTCTTGGAACATGCTGAAAAACAATTTATAATCTGAAGTAGGGTTGTAAATCCTCATGTTAATTTTATTTAATGTACATCATATTATTTGATATTCAAAGTATTAACTTCATTGTTTTTATTATTTTCCGATTATAAGAATATTACCTGTCTTACAGGATTCTTATAAGAATATGTGTGAATTAATTATTAAAATTTATTTAAGCAAACTAGCTACTCCCGCGCGGTTGCACCCTTTGCTCGGCTCCATTTAATCGTAGCGTGATGTTTTATAACCTATAGCACTCAGGAACATTCTAGCTGTAAATCAGTAAAAGAAATTTTGAAAATATGACCAGCGGTTCCAAAGATTACCACCTACATACAAACTTAGAAATACTCTTTATAATATTAGTATAAATTGTAATGAATTTTTCAACAATATATCTATATTAGTTAAAGCTAAATATCATTTAATCATTGGCAGCAATTTCTGGAGCAATGTGCAGATGGGTCCCCCTGATGTCATTCTTGGGGTCACCGAGGCCTTCAAGAAGGACAAAAGTCCTAAGAAAGTAAACCTTGGTGTTGGTGCCTACAGAGATGACAACAACAAGCCATATATTCTGCCATCTGTCAGACAGGTTAGGCCCCTTAACTGTTTGTTTATTTGTTTTCAGCATGGGTGATATTGATCCCCAATCCTATTAGAAAATTTAATTACTGATAATAATACTTGTTGACAATCTTTAGAATATTGTCTGTACCTCTGTGTAAGTACAGAATGGTAGAAGTGAGCATTCTCTATATGAGCCAACTTAATTTTTTTTTTGTTTACTTGGTCATGCAAGTTATAATTATATTACAAATATAATTATTGATTTACTTCTTTTTATCACAAAATCCACAGTTCATGCATAGCATAAGCATTTGCTTATGTTAAGCTAGGTACTTATTTAAATACAATCTTGACTTTCAAATACAACTAGAAGATAATCATTACTCAAGTGCAGCAACAAAACAATGTCAGCATATATTTTACTCAATTGTCTACAATTACCAACTAAAAAAACCGACATTGAGACTTGATTGACTTTATTAGGAAGTCAGTTTATGAAATTTAAAATCAACAAGAAACCGTCAAGTTTAATTTTCAGCATAATAATTATGTTATATTTTCTATCACAGGCAGAGGAAATCATCTTTAAGAAGTGTTTGAACCATGAGTATGCTCCCATTGGTGGTGATGCAACTTATGCTAATCTTGTTGCCAAACTTGGCCTCGGTGACAACAGTTTGGCCATTAAAGAAAAGAGAAATGTGACTATTCAGGTATGTTTTGTTTTAATTTATACCAATAATAATATACAATTAGCAGCTTTTTTATTATAACTTTCGTGAGACATTCTAAATTATTTATTATGTTTTCGGCTTACTCACGTAATAATTTGACGAGATACTCGACTAGTTTCAAGCCATGCTAGAGGCCCATATTCATGAGCAGCATTCCTCGGCGACCGTCGCGCTGCTTAGCTTAATTAGCAGCTTGTCTCAGTTCTTGTCATCAAATATTTTCCAATGGTTCCAGAGAATTTTTCAGTGTTTGATTTTTCGCAAAACAATAAAAATCGATTTTAACATAGGAAAAGTGTATATTGTATTGAGAAAAATTTGTACTAAGCAATCAGAAAATATTAATTTAAATAATCCTTTTCTTTTAGACATTATCTGGTACTGGTGCCCTGCGTGTTGGATTCGAATTCATCGCAAATCATTACAGCCACTCCAAGGAGATTTGGTTGCCTGCACCAACATGGGGAAACCACCCTCAGATCTGTAATATGTTGCGCATTCCTCACAAGAAGTACCGCTACTACGACCCTCGCACTCACGGTTTCGACCTACAGGGTTGCTGTGAAGATATCTGTGTAAGTGTCACACCATATTATTGATAGTCACGCCTTATCAGTACTTATGTAAGTAATGTACGGTATTAAGATTAGACTTATTGTATCATCAATGATATAATATCTTGAAGGTCTATGTTATGTTAGACAATGTTGATCTCCATTTTGCTACACTACAATAGAGGCTAATAGTTGGTATTAATTATATTCAATATGTATTTTTAGGTATATAATTTACGTGTAATTTAAATATTTTTTTAACAAATATTCCTGAATAATCGTTGGTACAATTCCGGGCTATTATAAAATTTTCAGGGTGTCAACATGAGACTTCTTTGCATGTTAGTTTGTATTTTTTTTAATATCTCAATGAAACTGGTTCTTAAATGTTTATCTACGAAATCGCTAACTGTATACGACAACTTTAGTTATCATTTTTATTACAATTATTACAACTAGATAAAACAGGTTTGTGTCGAATAAAAATGTACCTATTTACTGTTTTTATTAGATTATATTATGAACGATAACTCCATCACGATGTAGGCGCGTGATAAATACCTATACAAAATGAATGTGCAGAGAAATGGTCTGTTCTTAAAAATCTTTTTTTTTCTCTTCAAACACGTGATAAAAGCATGCTATGTATCGTCTTGAATGTGTTGTAAATCTTTGATATTCGAATTTATACTTCATTTCTTTGTTAGAGTGCATATTTTGCATTGCGCCATGAAAGAGATTGATAAACTTATTTGTTAATGTTTAGCAATATATGTTTTGTACTACTTTATATAGGCTATAGATAGGTACATCTATGATGTTGTTTTGTACCTATGTATGACTTGCCATATACAATTTCAATTTAAAAGTGGTAGAGCTATGATTTGGCACAAATGGGCCGTCCAGATCGGAGTGATACCTAGGCCTCAAAGAAAACCGGCGTGAAACAATACTTACGGAGAGTTTTAAAGTGTGAGTGGAGGCCCGATCTTTTCTCCAATGCCATCCCTGACCCCCAAAAAGCCGGCAACGAACTAGTATTTATTTTGTTGTTGTCGGCGGCGCTGATTGCTTTTATCAGACTGCTCGTTTGCCGACCTTACCATAAACAAACGTAAAGGTACCTCATTCTATAGTGACCTATTTTTCTATGCAAGTACTTAACTTGCCTTACCTATTCAACTTCAATTTAAGACTAGAAGTTCTTAATTAAAAGTCTTTACGATTTCAAAGCTATCCAATCAACAACGTCCTTTCAAGATGGAGTTGTAATAGCGCAGTTTTATAGGTGTTTGTCTAATTAAACTTTGCTGCTGTTTTTTTTTTTGAAAGGATAGACATTCATTAGGGTTTATAATGTACATTATAGATACAGGACCACCAGACAAAAATATTAATCAGAATAATCTTCGTCAAAATATCTTTCTTTCACGCTATTTAGTGTAGACTTGTTTTGCCATATTTTTTTCGAATCAATTTAAATCACTTTAATTCTGTGCCAAAATTTATTATGATAGGTACTAGCTATTTTTCTAGCCAATTTTAAACATACAGTTACGGACATTAGTCGTTTTAGACATTTCGGAACATTTTTTTTTTAAATACATAGGCTGGATACTCTCTATTAGATGAACAAACGTTTTATTTATTGGTAAAATCCTCAAATGACTTCCTCGTCTATGACGAAACGAGAGGGAGTGTCAGACTCTTACTGACTTGAAACCACTTCGTTCGGCTCTAGGCCAGGGCCGCCGTACATAATTGCTTGATCCGCAACCCCGAGATGATATAATATTATTGTTTACTTTTACAGTCCATACCACCTGGCTCCATCATTCTGCTACATGCGTGTGCGCACAATCCTACCGGAGTCGACCCTAAACCCGAAGAATGGCAGACATTGTCTGAAGTAAGTTCATTATTTTTAAATTTAGTAAAAAATCACACGAAAATGTTTCATGTAAAATGCAAAATGTTGCCAAGACTGAAAATAAATTAATGAGTCACTGACAAATAGTTATGCAGTCTTTTTAGCGGGTGCACGCTGGCACGGGGATACCCCCAAATTATTAATGGATAATTGCCAATTTGGAAAATGCTTTTAAACCATATAATTTTGAGGTAAAAATAATATTTAAAAATAATTTTAAGGTGATTAAAGAGAAGAAATTGCTGCCTTTCTTCGACATGGCGTACCAAGGATTCGCGACTGGCAACGTTGACAACGATGCGTTCGCTGTGCGGCTTTTTGAAAAGGACGGACATCAACTAATGTTGGCTCAGAGTTTCGCCAAGAACATGGGTAAGGATATGAAATGCTTAAAAATCTGGGCTCTGGCAGAGATTAGTTAGTGAATATAAACACAATTTTCTACATCTATTGCTTTTAGATAAGATATTATATCGCTATATATATGATGGAAAAGTAGCTATCAAACGGTGTTCAAATATTTGTTTATGACGTGCGTTGCTATGCATCGATTGTTTATTCTGTGCATCTTTAAGATAGATAATGATATTAATTACCTTAATTGTTTAAAAATAAACTAAGAAAACAGACAATACATGACACATGAACCCTTGGTTGCTACTGAATATTAAAAATACTTTACATAATTATGTCTCGGTTAGATCAAAAAACTATAAAAATATAGCGGCATACATACATAACTACATTCTATGGCATAACCACCACACCTCATACCTATTACCAGATAACCTTTACCGTACCTCCTTGAAAAACCAGATTACCGTTACCATACCTCCGTGAACAACAAACCAATACCAACGTTTTTGACTTTCTGTGATCAGAAACAGTGAAACAAGCCGCCTTGAAAAAGGCGTTGCAAACGTTTTAGACTTCTGACAGAAACTCGTCTTGAAAAAGACGCTTGTAACGTTTTTGACTTCTGCTGACAGAAACTCGTCTTGAAAAAGACGTTTTAAAACGTTTTTGACTTCTGCTCAGAAACGAAATATTGTGAGCAAGCAAATAAGCAGGCAAGCAAGCAGAAGCGAAGCTCGAAGCACACGAAGACACGAAGTTGCGGTCCACGACACTGGACACGTCTGTAGTCGTCGGCGGCACCGGAGCGAAAGGACGCGTCTCGCGGCACGCGCCCTATTATAGCCTCGCGACATCGCGGCGAACGGCGACCGCGACGGCGCATGCGCGCAGCCGCTCCGTCGAGCCTTGCGACGAACGCGCGCTGCTATTGGTCAATTGTATTTACATATGTGTGATAGTGTATAAGTTAGCCATAAGACATGTAAATATAAGTAGGGATATGTAGCCGAATAAATCATTCCAAACCACGACAGCCTCGAGTTAATAACAAGAAGAAGAAACCCTGCTCTCACTCCTAAATTGGTGACCCTCCTGAAGAAAAAGAACACAAGTAAATATCAAGACGGCAAATCCCTGCAAGTCAGAAGAAATATGGCCAGCGAACAATTCAGCGACGCCCACGGCGTAACGACAGTGCAGAGCGACGTGGCGACAATATCCCTGCCCGCTAGATTGCCACCATTTTGGCGCCAAAATCCTCGCCTATGGTTTGCGCAATTCGAGGCAGCTGTCGCCGCCAGCAAAATAGGAGAAGAGCAGAAGTTTAACCTCGTCGTACCATTGCTCGGCAACAACGACCTTGAACAGATCGCCGACATCATCTTAAGCCCCCCAGCAACCGGCAAGTACAGCACACTGAAAGAACGGCTGATCTCCACATATCAAGAGTCTGACCATCGCCAGCTACAGAAACTGCTGAGTGGTCTCGAGCTCGGCGATCAAAAACCGAGCCAGCTACTCCGCAAGATGCGTGACCTCAGCGGCAAACTCCTGTCCGACGAGGCTCTGAAAGTAATGTGGCTGAATCAACTGCCAGCTCAAATACGCGCCGTACTCTCCGTCAACACAGAGTCATCACTCGAAATGCTAGCCGCAATGGCTGACAAAATGATGGAGCATTTCGAGCCGACATCCATCAACGCAGTCTCCACAGCAACAGCGTATCAAGAAAACCTTCAAATCTCCTTACTGTCAAAACAAATCGAAAAGCTATCACTTGAAATCGCCGAACTCCGTACCAACCAGCAGAACTATCGACATTCCCCACGCTTCCCACACCGCAACCGTTCACGATCTCATTCAAGATCCAGACAGCATATCAACATCAAGCCCGGCGACCCGAATTGGGTGTGTCGCTATCATTATAGATTCGGCGACCAAGCACGCAAATGCGAATCGCCGTGTTCAAAAAACCGGGAAAACTAGAAAGTACATCGACGTTGGCGGGCGTCGATGTAAACCAATCCAGCCGCCGACTATGTGTTATAGACATCAACCTTCGAGAAAAATTTCTTGTTGACACGGGAGCTGACATATCAGTCCTATCTGCAAGAAATAAAAAACACATCAAGCCGGCAAAGACCTCATACAAACTGTTCGCGGCCAACGGCACCGAGATTCGTACCTACGGAGAGCGCACACTCGAGCTCAACCTAGGCTTACGAAGACGATTCAGGTGGACATTCGTCGTGGCCGACGTGAACACGTCGATTCTAGGCGCAGACTTCCTAGTACATCATCAACTATTAGTCGACCTTCACCAAAGAAAACTCATAGACCGCATCACCGAACTCAGCGTAAACGCGATCAAGATCAATGGCACCGAGCAAGACACCGTGTACATGGTCAACCGCGACCACGCTTATCACGACCTACTAAAGAAATATCCCGATGTTCTGCGACCTATGTCATTGAAGACTCCTGTGAAACATGACGTCACTCACCATATCGAGACAACCGGACCGCCTATATACTCACGAGCGCGACCCCTACCGCCCAACAGATACAAGGCAGCAAAACTTGAGTTCGAGCGCATGATCGAGATGGGTATCTGCCGACCCTCTAACAGTCCTTGGGCGAGTCCAATGCACGTCGTCAAGAAGAAAGACGGTTCACTTCGAGTCTGCGGCGACTACAGACGACTAAACGCTGTTACAGTACCCGATCGCTACCCTATACCTCGAATACAAGATTTTACCTACCAACTTCACGGCAAGAAAATATTCTCGAAACTCGACCTCAAGATGGCATACTTCTGGATACCTATCGCTAAAGAAGACGCACAGAAAACAGCAATCATAACTCCGTTTGGTCTCTTCGAATTCAACTGCATGACATTCGGCCTAAGAAACTCAGGACAGACCTTCCAACGATTCATGCACGAAGTACTACGAGGACTCGACGACATAGTGTTTTGTTTCGTCGACGATCTACTTGTGCACTCAAAAAATCAAGATGAACATCGACGCCACATCGAAATAGTACTCGAACGCCTAAATACCTACGGCGTCAGTCTAAATATCGATAAGTGCGAGTTCGACAAACAAAACATCCAATTTCTTGGATACGAAGTGTCATCAGAAGGAATCAAACCCACTCAAGACCGAATACAAGCAATAGTTAACTACCCAAAACCCCAGACAATTCAAGATTTAAGAAGATTCCTCGGCATGATTAACTTTTACCGCAGCTGCTTACCCCATCAAGCCGAATATCAACATGAACTGAATAAATATCTACATAACACAAAGAAAAAAGACAAGACTCCGATAACGTGGACACAAGAAGCAGAGCTAGCCTTCGAGAAATGCCGACAAAGCATCCTCGACGCTACTACACTCACGCACCCGATACATAGCGCGCCGCTACGCTTATATACCGACGCCTCAAACACAAGCATCGGCGCCGTACTGCAACAGCAAGTAGACAACGTGTGGAAACCTCTGGCATTTTTCTCAAAAACAATGAGCGAGACTCAGCGACGTTACAGTGTGTACGATCGCGAATTATTAGCGATGTACATTTCTGTCAAACACCTTCGTAGGTTAATAGAAGGCAACGACCTTACGATATATACCGACCACAAACCTCTCACCTATGCACTAACAAGATCACCGAGTACCAGCGACACATCACGAAGAGAACGACAACTTCACTTCATTAGTCAGTTTTGTTCAAATATTAAGTACGTGCACGGTGATAACAACGAAGCGGCCGACGCCTTATCACGCATAGAAGAGATCGACCTAACAGAAACATCCATCGACTACAATCAACTCGCTCAAGACCAGGAAAACGACCCAGAACTACAGAGATACATTTCACATCCAAACCTACAGTTCACCAGTATTTCACTACCCGGAGGTCAACGTCCGCTTATCTGTGAAACATCGACAGGCAACATTCGTCCATATTTACCCGCGAAATATCGTTTTGTCGCATTCAAAGCGCAACACGACTTAAGTCACCCAGGCGTGCGTACTACTAGAAAAATAATATCTACGAAGTTCTTCTGGCCGAACATGAATAAAGAAGTCGGAACATGGGCAAGAACATGCATCGGTTGTCAGCGAGCGAAAGTACAGCGGCACACTATCAGCCCGCTCGGCGAGTTCGGAAAATCACAGCGCTTTGAACATATACACGTCGACATCGTAGGACCACTGCCGCCGTCAAATGACTACCGATATCTAGTCACCATGATTGACCGCTGCACAAAATGGCCTGAAGCTATACCCGTACACGATATCACCGCGGACACGATCGCCAAGGCTATCTACGACGGTTGGATATCGAGATTTGGTTGCCCGCTACGACTTACGACCGACCAGGGAAGACAATTCGAGTCGTCACTGTTTAAGGCGCTGATGAAGAAATGTGGAATAAACAGAATACGCACTACTGCTTTCCACCCTCAAGCAAACGGACAAGTCGAGCGCTGGCACCGCACTTTGAAGTCAGCACTCATGGCGAGATGCGCGCGCACAAACTGGAGCGACGAGTTATCAACTGTGCTACTCGGCCTACGTACAGCATTACGACAAGACAATGAAGTCAGCCCGGCACTCATGACCTACGGTTCAACACTCCGCGTACCATCTGATTTCTTCGTGCCTACTCAGCCGAACATCGATGACGCCGAATTCGTCCGTCAGCTGACCGAAACTATGTCTACATTATCGCCGAACAGCAAGCCACACTCAAACTCCACAAGGTCATTTGTACACAAAGACCTTGCTACGTGTACACATGTTTTCGTGCGCAATGACACCGTGCGCAGCCCACTAGTACCTCCCTACGACGGCCCCTACAAAGTACTTCGGCGCGAAAGCAAGCATTTCACCATACAAATGTATCCACGTACTGCAGTTATTTCAATAGACAGACTCAAACCAGCATATCTACTCAACGAAGACGACACCATATCAACATCAGTTACGCGCCAACAACAAGACAAGATACCTACAACGACTTCGCGCCAACAGCGAGACTATGTACCTACCGCAACTGCGCGCGAACAAACACCGACCTATCTACCTACAACTACAAGTAACGACGCACGGACAATGTCATTCACCCCACCCCGCGACGCCTACGTCACCCGCACCGGCCGTACAGTGAAACCAAACGTACGCTTCGCTTAGGGGGGAGTGATATAGCGGCATACATACATAACTACATTCTATGGCATAACCACCACACCTCATACCTATTACCAGATAACCTTTACCGTACCTCCTTGAAAAACCAGATTACCGTTACCATACCTCCGTGAACAACAAACCAATACCAACGTTTTTGACTTTCTGTGATCAGAAACAGTGAAACAAGCCGCCTTGAAAAAGGCGTTGCAAACGTTTTAGACTTCTGACAGAAACTCGTCTTGAAAAAGACGCTTGTAACGTTTTTGACTTCTGCTGACAGAAACTCGTCTTGAAAAAGACGTTTTAAAACGTTTTTGACTTCTGCTCAGAAACGAAATATTGTGAGCAAGCAAATAAGCAGGCAAGCAAGCAGAAGCGAAGCTCGAAGCACACGAAGACACGAAGTTGCGGTCCACGACACTGGACACGTCTGTAGTCGTCGGCGGCACCGGAGCGAAAGGACGCGTCTCGCGGCACGCGCCCTATTATAGCCTCGCGACATCGCGGCGAACGGCGACCGCGACGGCGCATGCGCGCAGCCGCTCCGTCGAGCCTTGCGACGAACGCGCGCTGCTATTGGTCAATTGTATTTACATATGTGTGATAGTGTATAAGTTAGCCATAAGACATGTAAATATAAGTAGGGATATGTAGCCGAATAAATCATTCCAAACCACGACAGCCTCGAGTTAATAACAAGAAGAAGAAACCCTGCTCTCACTCCTAAAAAAATAAAACCTTTTTGCCTACCTCCCTAAGAATTTAAGACAATAATTTACCGAGTTTTCCCAAACCAGCTGTTGGTAATAGTGGCGCCCAGTGTTTACACTAAACAAATGAAAAGCAACTCTTGATAAAAAAAAAATGGTCTTTCAGATTAAAAATTAGCTAGTCTTCTCTGTAATATTCCATAAATTTTGCCATTGGCTGCTGATAAAAAGACAATGCAATATCGGTAGCTTATTAGCAATTGTTGTCAAGTCCGTCGTGTCGTCATACAATACTTGTTTATGAATGATTATTACGTGTTTACCATTCTGACCTTGTTATCTTATCCGAGTTTTTATAATTACGTCAATTGGGTCGACTGCAGATCGTATGGGACTTTTTTAACCAGAAAATAATTTGACCTCTATGACATATTAGGTACTCGGTCTTTCGTACTGGATATGTTTAGTTAATGTTGTACCAATCTGCGTGGTTAATAAGTATACAAATTGGATCGGTATTGGTACATTATGAACTTACCTACTGTACTTAGTTTGCCAAAGAACATGTGTTGCCATGCCAGTCATTCACAACACACATAGTTAAATCGTTAAAAAAAAACATTTAATTATATACATTTTATTTGGTTTATTTAAAAAGCATTTATGATAAACATACAATTTAATATACACATCACACACAGACTCCGAACAACGATTTGTAAATCACACAAAGAACTGTTCTGTGCGGGAATCGAACCCGCAACACGTTGCGCAGCAGCCAGTTGCCAAACTACCGCACCAGCCGTGCTGTCACATGTCAAATGATGCATTAGTACCTACGTTATTACTAGGATAATGTATCGAATTTGAAAATAGGTATATGCGATAATAATCATTATTGAAAATTCATGTTGGCAATTTCAGGATTGTATGGTGAACGTGTTGGTGCGCTCTCGTTTGTGTGCGCCGACCAAGACACTGCCGCCAATATTATGTCGCAAGTGAAGATCTTAATCCGTACGCTGTACTCGAATCCGGCCATTAATGGATCACGTATCGTCACCGAGATCCTCTCCAACCCTGAACTTAGGGCCCAATGGTAGGTTTTGCTGTTACAACTCTATTATTAATCCAAACTAATATTATAAATGCGAAAGTAACTCTGTCTGTCTGTCTTTTCTTCACGCCTAAACTACAGAACCTATTTGTGTGAAATTTGGTACATACATAGTTTGGAACTTGAGAAAGGACATAAAAATCTACAGGAAGTCACTATTCCACGCGAACAAAGTCGTGTGGTGACCAAATCATAAAATGTCCCATTCGCTTCAGTAATTCTGATTAATGTTTTTTTAGGTTATGTGATGTCAAAGAAATGGCAGACCGCATCATCAATATGCGTAAGAAGCTGCGCGAAGGTATCGAACGCCGTGGCAACAAGCTTAAATGGCAGCACATCACCGACCAAATCGGCATGTTCTGTTACACCGGACTCAAACCTGATCAGGTAAATTATTTACTTCCATTTTTTGCTAATCAGACTACTGGTGAAAATGTTTACAACCATTTTTACGATATTTTTGGAAACTAATGCCATTTTTGGCAGGCGGTATATATAAGACGGAGGCATTCAATTCAGCATGTAAATTTGCACATACATATCTACTCTTAGCGAAGATATATAGTTTTCTTTAGCTATTACATACCTGCCAATATTCCTAACATTTTTATTACCAATAGCCCTTATATGTAGTCAAATGCGGGCAGTGAGGATAAGTCTCTCACGCCCTTATCTCGTCGGGGGTATACCCTGAGATGTAATGGTAGATTAACGTATTCTCTATAAGCCCTAATGTGTCGAATTAGATACAAATCTAAGTTACACGGCCTAACACAAAACCGGCGTGAAACAACCACAGCATTGTGTTTCGCACAATCCATCCCTCCCCAACCTCTAAATTTCCAAAACTCTAATTCCCAAAAGGCCGGCAACGCACTCGGTAAGTCCTATAGCGTTGCGGGTGTCCATGGGCGGCGCCGATTGCTTACCATCAGGCAATTCGTTTGCTCGTTTGCCCTTATCACATAAAAAAACCTATCATTTCAGCCAACAACAGTTGTTTTGCAATAACGACTGTCGATACTAAAATATACGTTGCACTGTTTCCAGGTCGCACGAATTACAAAGGATTTCCACATTTACCTAACGAAGGACGGTCGTATCTCCGTCGCTGGCATAAGTTCAAGTAACGTTGACTACGTCGCCGAGGCCATTCACAAGGTCACCTCCTCCTAATGCAGCGTGTCAAAACAAAATTGGGTACTTGTCAAACACTACTATTTTTTTTAATTCTTTCTTGCGTAAAAAGTTTTTTCCGAATTTGCACTGAGTATTTATTTATAAGAAGACTTGCTGTTATTGTTTTTCATAATACATTGAGTACTTTCAGAAAGAAATTATACATATTTACTAATTAAGATGAGATTGAGTTTGTTTGTTCCGAAATTTCACGGATTTCATTTTGTCAGTCTGCGGGAATAATTGTTTATTATAATTCAGGAGCGCGTATTTATTTTTAAATATTTTGTTTCAGCATTACATAAGCTACTCTTACTAGTGTCGCGTCGTGTCCGTTACGTCGTTCGCATCTCACATTCAATGTACCGAAAGAGCACAGTATTTATGAAACCAGCTTGTTAACATTTAATATTTTTATTGCCTTTATGATATACTTTTGTATTTTATATGTATATTTTATTTTTTAAATTAAAAAGTGTTTGTACCCCTTGTTCATGAAAGCATTTCGTAAGGTTGACTTGTTTCCTGAGATTACATAAGTAAATATATTTTTATTGTGATGGAAATTGTTAAAGTTAATCATAGTTCATGAACAAAGGGCTGAGTTTAAGCAATCATTCTTTTTTTAATTACGCTTTTTTTTCTTTAGTCTTGATTTAGCTAAGTAAACACCTCAACAATTCGATTAAAATTTTATTCGTTAAAATAAGTAGATAAAATGAACTTGCGAAAACAGGAAATTGTATCAACATGTTTGATTCTACGACGGTACTAAGTATTTCTACGCAAAATATTTACAGCTGACGAAAGAAATAAACAACCTTATTCTAAGTTTATTACACAATCCGATGCAGGTCAATCGTTAACATCGCCTTGAAATTTAACAAGAATGTACAATACTTACTAAACTCCTTAAAGGACACATTACATAATAATAGGGAACACATTTTATCCACAATTCGTATATTATTGTGGTAACAATGCAATCTTAAGCATATTCACCTGCATCCAATATCCACATAAACCTATCAACATTTTTCTAAACTAAACCAGTTTATTGAAGGACATACATCAATTACCGAAAATGCTTTTACGTACATTATTATTATGATACAAAATATACTACTACATTTTTAAAGTTGACACACGTCAATAAACATAATTATTTTAACATTATATGTACAAATTTTCATAGAACAAATTACTTCCTATTCATGGCACATTTCTTTAGAATGTAAAACACACTCTCTTAAAGCAAGAAATATGTACCATTATTATACACACCTCGAGTGTCGAGGATCAGTTGTCTGTAGCTCCAATCACTGGTTCTTCTCTCAGTGAGGACATGCTTACATACGTCTAGGGTACACATACCGATTACTTTCTAAGCTAAGCGGTGACGAGATTGCTATCCTTTGAAAAAACAAAGGACCAAGGGCATGTAAATTTGGAAAACCCCAAATTCCACGTCCACAATAAATTTAAACATCACAATTCACATATCGTGTACAATGTGACATTCTTGTCTAAATAATAATTAAACACAACCACAAACTTTTCCTATAACTTGAATTGATTAGAATTAACGTAAGTAACACGTAGCACCACCCTTTTCAAAATTATAATTAGACATACTGCCTGTCACTGAATGTCTCCTCACATCTGCAAACCTCGACCGCCGATGCCAGATTCACAGTTTCCCTTGGTAAGTCACACTGGGAACATAAACACAGTAATCCTGTGTTTGTATACCTACACTATTTTTTGTTGATGTAAAATACGGTTCGAGTAATAAAGGAATACGCTGCCGATTCTGTACGTTGGACTCTACTAAAATATATACTTACTACAGATGGATTAATTACCGTATAGCAACAAAATTTTAAACAACAAAGGACTGGCTTGCTACTGGCCCACCATTCGTATTGCAGATGCTGTGATAGCTATGCCTTTTCTAGTTTTATTATATTATATTGATTAGACACTTAATCCCGCGCTAAATTAGGCTTATTATAATAATGAAGGGCCTCTGTATATGAAAAATCGAAGTTTTAGCTTAATACATGCCGCTGGGATTATAAACTTCTGAATGTTTCGATGTTATTTCTGATATTTTAGCAATCGTCCCAGGGCGTCTGGAAAGTCTAAATGGCTTTGTACAAAATGGTAATTTTATAGAATCTGATATACTTATCCAAATGACAACTTTATAAAAATTGCCTAGGTTGTAAAATTCTTCTAATTATCATAAAAAAACAATTTGTGATATAAACATATGATTGTGAATTGAAATCAATAGTGTGATGCTATAGATATCCATATTTATTCTTATAGCTTGCTGTTTCTGTAGGTTAGTGTCATTTTTCTCTGAATATACTGAGCGTCAATATAATATATGCTTATTAATTGTACAACAGTAAAGAGCAGCTTTATAGTGGTTTTAGTTTACTTAAAGATTCTATGTTCGATTGCCAGAAAGAACTCATCTATAAAGCCTAGTAGAACTTTCCAGGTCAATGACGACTTAGTTATTAACTTTTACATATGGACATTATTGATTCGAAATAATTTAGAATAAATCTAGGTATTGCATTAAAACCCTTAAGTATATTTCACCTAACTGTACTACTTCACAAAGGGCAACTGATATATGAATTATCTTATAAAATTAAACTGTTTATGATACAATTTTATGTACAACAAGTCCTTAGTATGTTATAATGAAAAATAAAATTAGTACTACTATGGTTTCTATGCATATTTAGTAAATTGTTAACACACTCCAGGTATATTATAAATATACTATCATAGTAACAATTGTGAACAACTAGATAAATAAATAATGTGATTTAATATTACAGGTGATACTAACAAATGATTATGAAAACCTATAAGGATATATGTATATATATAAAATAGAATTTTACTACTTATTTATTATTTTTATGGTAAGTATGTGAATTATATCAACAGTGAGTAGCAGGTAAACTGTTTTATTGCTGTTCTATTTGAACTTATTACACAACAGATAGGTATTAAAGGCAGTCTCCTCAGTAAATAGACACAAAACTAGAGATTTCATATAAAAAATGAAGTAGACGATTTCACAGGTATTGCATTCAGGCTAACGTAAACTTGTCTAGTGTCTTTCACTTTTTTACTAACTTAATAAATGATTAAATAATCAGCTTGAAACAAGAAAATTGACGAGAAATGGTAGTGAGTCTATAAGAAGGTGAGCCTGTGAGGTAAGTAACATATTAAAACAACAACTAAAGGCTAGAAATAATTTGTGCGTAATTAATAGATACTTCATAACAAAGTTGCCATGGTCAACTAAACCTAGTTTTTATATTGCTAAATATTCCACATTGTAATGTTACCAGGGACCACTGTTAACAATGAACTATGTGAAGGCAGTTGGTCCCATATTTTACTTAAAGTAATGATCACACACATGTGAATATGATATTGTGACATTAACACACTGTAGATGTTCGCGTTGTCATTATGTTAACTAATAATTTAAATATGCACATAATAATAACGCACTTACTGACATATGCACGTAAACACAAGATATATATGTATTCTAGTTACTGTAAAATATTTTGATATTATTTTGATTGTCAATTTAACTAAGCAAATGCAAATTTGTATTAATTCTATCAATAAATGAGATACTGGTGACATCTTCTGTTTTATTTCCAAAATTATGTGAATATTTTACCAATGGTTGTATTGCATGATGTCAAATAAAAATATTAATTAGCCAGTTGGTCAACTTGTGTATCTAGATTTTATTAGAGTATCTCTGAATACTTTTTTGTCTTTTTGCATCTGTTAGCCTCTTTTTTATGAAGGGAAATATGAAATATCCAGATAGTATACAAACACCTTTTAAAACTGTATATTTAACAGAACAAACAAAACGGCACTATGATCACGCCTCCCACGAGACCGTCACTGTCACCACTTTACACTTCACATTATATGTCCGCGCTTAGTCTAAAGTTCATTACATTTTATTACAGATACTTTCCACAGGTTCCATTTATTATTTAACCTACGTTTATTGCTCATTTATTTAAAGGCATACTTTCACTTACAGTTTGTGAATCAGTCGAGTTAGCAGAGTCTTCGCCTAATAGTCGGCTCAGTTGGTCATCGAGCACATCAGCTCGCCTCGGCTCGCGCGCCTTCGCCTCCACCGTGGCGAAGACATCATCCCCCGCCATCATGTCGCCCTCATCGAGATACGAGAACGAATCTAAATTTATATCAGAAGTGGTGATGGCAGTGCTATAGATGTCTATTCTCTTCTGCTGCGATTTAGCTTCGGCCACTTTTTCAGAAAGTTTTTCTTTCGCTTTTGTAAGCGCTTCCGATTCTGACTTATCCAGTTTGGAATCGTTCTCTTTTAGCTTTTCGATCTTAGTTTTGAGGGCAAATGAGGAATCATTGCTTGACGAACCGTCGTCTTGCAGCTGGCTGAGTAACGTTCGCGTCGCGAGGGTCATTGCGCTCGAACTGCTGTACATTTCGCTGCCCTCACCTGAACAAATATTTAGGTTTTCTTACAAACGAATTGAAAGAAAAAACAAAAATAAAATAAAGATGTCAAATATATAGATTACCACTTGGTGTTGCCCGCTGCAAGCTCTCCTGCGATTTGGTTTTAGTTTCGTGACTTGTAGACATGTATTCACTGTCGCTGTCACTAGACATGCCTAGGTCCAGGTGTAATGAATTTAATTTGTCTTCATTTTTCCCTTTTCTCGATACTGTGTCTAGTTCCATTTCCCAGTCAGTAACACTCGACGAATCCTTCACTGGTTCAGATTCCTTGGCAAAATTTGATTTGCCATCATCCTTTTCAATTAATGACAAACCAGTGTCTTCTATCGGTACCATTTCGGTTATGCTCTCGGCAGTCGAGTCTAGGCTGCTAGCATTACAAGTTTCCTCCGTCATTCGGTTATCAAATAGGACTGGTGTGTCGGGGGTGATTTGAGACAATTTCTTATTTTCATCAGAAGCGCGCGGCGCGTTAGTTCTGCTGTCTAATATTTCTGACATGGTGGTGGGCCGCCCTGTCTGTTCATTGTTTAACTCTAAAACAATTACATTGCCCGCACATTTGGCGGCCTCACCTTGCTCAGACTTCGATGCTTGCAATAATTGATTGACGTTTTTACCCATTATTACTTTAGACATATCATTCCCATTTTTAGCAAAAGTTAAAGCTTTCCCTATTGGTGTTCCCTTTGGTACTACGATTACATTACCCTTTGCACTAGATGGTCGAACGATAGGATTGGAAATTTTAGGTGTTGTTACAGGTGCTAGACCCTTTACAGGCACAATGTCCGCTAAGTTTGCAGTTTTAATTGTCTCTACGCCAAGAATTTTAGTACTGGAGGGGATTGAGCTGACTGTTGTTGGCTTAGACATAACAGTCATCGCGGGCGACTTTGTAATTTGTGTAATGGACTGGGAACTTACTGGCACTAGCTTCATGGCAGTTGATAAACCTTTGAAATGTATAAGTGGAATCTGGCCTTCGTTTCCAGATTTTGTTCTAGCTTTCGCGGGCAGAACTACCATTTTTTGACCCGATTTTGGGTTTAAAACAACTGCTTTAGCAGACACTTTCAGATCAGTGGCAGGAATGCCCTTAGGTGTAAGCGTTTCTGTTAACTTATTTGATATGCTGTTTGTACTTGTCGAGTTGCCGTCTTTGTGCGGCGTGCTCACAGCTGAAGTAATTATTACTTTAGAGTTGGGCATATTTCTATTCTCTGACATTGGTTTTGAGACCACGATCATTTTCTCAGTAGTAAGTGGTGTGTTGGGATTTCGCGACTTCGGTATTGACCCGATAACTTTAGTAGTAACGAGTTTGCCTGGAGTGTTTAATGCTTTTTGAGCCGAGCTAGGCGCGACAACAACTTGTCTGTTAGACAAAAGTTTAATACCCTCAGAGGGCTTTTGTAATAACTTTAGTTCAGACATTTGTACTTTTTTATCCGTGCTAATTTCACCGCGATTTTTTATGATAAGTTGGCAAGGTTTTCCGGATATGGTTTGTTTAGTGACTGGCGTGCTCTGCGCTTGTAGCGACGAGGGGTCGTCGGGGTGCGCGTTCTCAGAGACCTCGAGCTCGTGTGGTACTGTTGCGGGCTGCGTCAATAGCTGCATGGTCGGCGAGTCCGTTACCATGCCGGGGGAAGACAATACTTTAGGCTTTATTTCGTCCATGTAGTCTTGTTTTGTTTTATTACCTAATACAGATTGAGCGTAACTAGCCTGGAACGTGTTAGGCGGACCTGAATATTCCATTTGTAAGGAGGTTGGGTTGTACTGTTTGCTAGGGGATACAGCCATCTCTTGTTTTTTCATTTGTGATTTAGACACAACAATCTGTGTACCCTTGGCATTTTTGTGAGATCTGCTTTTGTGTGGCGTTGCGCGTGGGCCGTGGCCTTGACTGGGTTTACTGGTGGACACTTTGCTTACTTGATTATACGAGTGTTTTGACTGTCCTGATGGTTTACCTGAACAAAAGAAATAAACGTAAATATATATATCAATATTTCTTAAATCTAAGTTAAATATTGTAATGCACTCACTTGTGGCTGGTTGTGAGAATTTGGAATAGATCTGTGATAAATTCAAGTGCTTCTGGTTTGTGTTGATTGGGATATTCCTCATATTTTTAATAGGAGTCGTCGCGTCATCCGGTATTGCTCCACCTTCTGGAACTTTCCGTTTTCGGCTTGCTAATTCAGATTCCCAAATCTAAAACAAGTTTTTAATACGTCATACGAAATAAGGTAAAGAAAAAGAAACTTAATAATATGTAAAAGTCACTACTACTTTTTCAATCATTCAGTCATTTTAAATCAATGTTTTTGAACTTAAACACACAGTTACGACCAAACTCAAACATTTATGGCGTATTACAGCGCAGAGTTTATTGAAGTTATGTAAAAAGCAATAACCCCAAATGAAAACTCTCGTATTGAATATCTAGAAACAAATCTAGAAACAGTCTGTGTTTAGTTGACAGTTATTGTTAAAGCCTTTAGTGACACTCACTTTTGTTGTCTGGTCTTCCATGGCCACAGGAGGGTATACAGTCGCATCCATTGCGTCATTAGATGCAAGGGCACTCTCAGCAGTCTGGCCCTCGGCATCAGGAATTTCCTCCTCATTTGACTTGGGAGCAACAAGTTTCTCAGCTTCCAGTCTTTTTTGGATTTCTTTGTTTTCTGCTGCTGCAGCTTCAGCAGCTTTGTCAGCTATTTCTGTGTAGATAGTTTGGGCTATTCCTCGGGGCATCAAAGGCACCCGTCTTCGTCCTTCGCTGATCCATGCTAAGCCAGTATTGGGGCCTGCTAACCTTATTGTTAAACAATAATATTTATTAATATGATGAATTATAGAAAAAATTCAGCCTATTTCTTTTTTATTAAAAGCTAGTCAATGTATATGTTACTGTAAAATTTAAAATCAGATAAAAAAAAAAGTTGCCCCATACTAGGATTTTCTCCTGTGTCGTGGGTGCGTTTACAAACATACAATTCCACCTACACATCACCCCCAGACCCGGAACAACAATTTGTGGATCACACAAAGAGTTGTTCCGAGCGGGAATCGAATCCGTGAAACGTTGCGCGGCAGCCAGTTGTCCAGCCACCGCGCCAACCGTGCAGTCGGTCCAGATCGTATTGTATCAAAGTGGAATGGTCAAATTACAATTTTACAATTAAAATTGTACTTAATAAAATGCAGCAAATAATTGTGGTCTCAATATTTCTAAATTTACTTTAATGTCTTTGTTGAATAGAAAATTTTGTTATCTTTTTAAGAAGACTATTTTTGGACAATTAATAAATTGAGAATTGTAATTTGAAGGTTTCCCCTCAATACACTCTATAGAATATTATGTTAAATTGTATGCATTATCTTAGAGATTCAAAATTTTTGAACAGTTCACTATCTGACAAAATTTTATTTTTTGCTATTTTACAGTGATTTATACAAACTGCAAGAGAAAATTATTCTTAACGAAAAATAAGGTATAAAACTAAATAAAGATAAGCTTTAGCTAAATTGAAATACAGGTAATTGTTTATAAGTGGATATGGCATCTTAATTGAATTCAAATGTTACTAATAAAACACCATTATATGGCCAAGTAAATTGATGCTGATAATATTTTAAATTTAAATAACTAAGTAAATCCCCGATGGCATCAGTATTTTTCTAAGAGTTATTCAGAATTTTCATGCAACATTTGAACATATAAAATGTCTATTAATGGTATTGTCAATCTCAACTTTTTTAATTGGTGTTAATTTATATATCAAATTGGTCAAACCAGCTTTGTTAGAGCACCAAATGTAGTTATTATTTTAACAAAATTATGTGTTATTAACTAACTGACAAATGATTATTTTTGGATTAAAAAACCATAAAAAATCACTCTTTTTAAAATTTAGTTTATAAAAATTGGTAGTTTCAAGAAAAAAATAAAACTTGCATTTTAATTTCTAATTGGTAAAAACCAAAATGTCACAAAACATGCCATAAAACTCATTGAACACTTATAAAACTAATTATAAAAACTTTTTAATAACTCTGAAAGAGATATTAAAAATTAATTTGACATTTAAGATGAATAGGTTATCTGTCAAAATTTAATAACAAATTCTTAACACTCATAATAAAATACAAACAAGCAAATATGTTTGTTGAAAGCTGTAGTCAACCCACATTGTCAAACCAAGCATCTATCTACAGGGTTGAGATTCAGTACAGTACAATAGAATCCTAAGGAGAAAGTATATAAAAATATAAGTTTTCAAAACTATCTAGTAAGATTAGTATTACAATATGCATTTCAATATGCTAATGTATAAGTACATTATGTTAATACCTTTGACTTTCAGTCACTCTCAGCCATCTTTGACTTTGTGTAACAGTGTTTAAAAATAAATCATCAACCCTACACTGAAAATATTAAATATCAACTTACTGATCAGCAATAGTAGCTAATAACTCGTCATTAGACACGCGGCGCGCCTCCGCGCTATGCCGATCGTTGCTTATATGCAAAACGGCGCGCAGTTCTTCTAATAGCTTTTTTCTGTTGTCTTCCAATGCTCCTTGTGCTCTAAACACACTGATCATATTCGAGTAGGCTTCCAATTCTACAAACAAATGAATAAAGTATAAATTTGTAAGCGTATATGTGTTAAGATTACAAACGAATAAGCTGGAACGCGTTGAATATAATTTAAGAAAACCATAGGAGGGAAAATGAAAGCCATTTATAGGACTAAATATATACCGAGTCTGCGAAGCGTGAGACGACATTCGTCGCGTGTCATATTTAGCAGCATGGGCCACATTTTAAACGGTTTTTATTAACCACTTAAAATTAACTCTTGATTAAACGATTTCAAACATATTTTATAAAGAAGTCAATTGGCAAATATCCATACTGTTTACTTCAAACGACAATTCGTTCATTTTGACACTTCAAATAAGAGAAGCGAAAATATAAAGCATCGTGTCTATGCTTTAGTAATACCAGCCATGAGCTTAAAAGCTCCACACTACTATTTGACAGGAGACAAAAAACATGGATGCAGAATACATAAGACAAAACCATGCATGAACATACAAAAATTTTGTTCTAATATTTAGCATTAACTATACTAATATTATAAAGAGGTAATATTTGTAAGTTTATACGTAGGGGGTAATCATTGGAACCGCTCGCTGGTCTTATTTCCAAAATTTTTTCACTGATCATGATCAATACTATAGCTACAATGTTCCTGAATGCTATAGGCTAAAACTTATAATTGATTAACGAATTTTAGTCGAGCTATGGATTTACACATTGCAGTTTTTAAAATCCCAGGATACATTACTTTTATACACGTGCGAAGCCGCAGGCGGCAACTAGTGTAAGATAAAGAGCAATTACTAATATTTATCAAAACATATCGTAAGCATGTTTAGCAGTATAATTATTTTACACTGCTAAATATGCATTATTTGTTTTTTTTAACTATTTTGCTCTTATTATTTTTTAGCAGGTCCGTTTTGGTCGGTAATGGATTTATATCACATCTGATGATAACCAATTTTTCATGAGTCTAATTTAAATCAAACTAAGATTCCACGTAGTCTGGGACTTATTATACAGTTGCAATATTTTGCGTTTATGTCATAGACAAGGACGCGTTCATAGGTGGTTTAAAAAGTTACTTACAAAAGTAGTTTTATTTATTAAAAAAAAAGTGAGATTAAATAATTGGTTTTAGATTTATTTAGTATTTTGATGGTTGAACGTGACTTCAACAGTGGATATTCAAAATATTTAAATTATTTGACTAAGAAATAACCAAACTGTTAATGAATACAAATCCACTTAATTTCATCTTCTAAGAAACATTCTCCGTAAACTACTCCAAATGTCATGATTACAGATGAAGACCTATTTTGTTAGTACCTAACTATATAGAAATATTTTTGTTTGTAGAACATAAAAGGATAATTTTGTTTAAACTGAAATTATTTTTGCTTTTTGTAAAACAGTTTATTTTAAAACTATTCGTGAAAATAAGTATCATGAAAATGCATTAAATAATTAATCTTTTGCATTCAATATAAATGTTGCGCTTCATTTCCATTTTATTTGTTGTTTCTTTCATTTTTTTTACAAAGAGTAAATGCAACGATGGTGAATTTAAATTGGATATCTTGTGGTGTTATGAAAATAAAATGTTGCTCTTTTTTAATCTGTGATTAAAAGCACTACATGAATGCAACTGCTTTAAAGGACTTGTATCCAGGCCACAAACTCCAAAATAAAAAACATGAATGCAACGCTCTGACAGCGAGCGTCTGTCATCAATTCAACCGTCAAACGTTTATAAACTTTTGAATTTCTTCTAAATAAAGAAGTGCAGTGATATATTTGTTTATTTTGAATAACGACACACATTACTAGCTTTCAGAATGGCTGATGTCGATGAAATTATTGATTACATAAAATCATTGAAGAAAGGATTTGATATAGACTTGTTTCAGAATAAAATTGACGAGCTAGCATACGCTGTTGATACAACTGGGATACTTTACAATGATTTTCATACTTTGTTTAAAGTTTGGTTGAATTTATCAATTCGTAAGTAGTAAATTATTCAGAGATAAGTTTTACTTGCCGAAGAGCCAATTTTGTACCATATTAAAATTTAAACGTTTTATTTCCAGCTATAACAAAATGGATAAGCTTGGGTGCCTGCCTTGTGCCACAGAATATCGTTGAAGACCGGACTGTGGAGTATGCTTTGAGTTGGATGCTTTCTAATTATGAGGACCAGTCTACTTTCTCTCGAATAGGATTTTTATTAGATTGGCTTACTGGTATGAAGTGGTAGTAATCTTAATATTCAGCTTGAATGTGTCTAGTATTGGTCACCTGTGTCCTATGACACTGTTTTCTGTTATGGGTCAGGTTTTTTTTGTCTTACTTAATTCTCCTTATGCCTGACCATAGCTCTAAGACAATATCTTCTGTTAAATCTATGATTAGGGTCTGTCTGTATTTACAAGAAAATAAGTTAAATATCAACTATGATCCCAATCATTTATTTAATATAAACATAAAATAAGTTATTATTTACTATTTGCAGCTGCAATGGAATGTGAATGCATTGAAATGGAGACTCTGGACATGGGTTATGATGTGTTCTATGTCAGCTTGACTTATGAAACTCTGGTGAGTAATTTGAAGACTGCAATAATACATTTTCTGCCTTGTTAAAACAAACTCAGAACTTTATTCTTGGCACCTTTGCTTGCTGCTACTACTTAAGTGGTTAGTGCCTTCAATTCATGTTTATATTTTTTTTTTTATATATTTGACTGAGTATCAGTTAATTAGATAAAATTATGAAAGAGGGAGAGAGATAAAATTGCTATCTGTTCATCTGTATGTGTTACATAACACCCTGTCTTCTTCCAGACACCTCATGCAGTGAAACTGGTGTATACCCTGACAAAGCCTGTTGATGTCACAAGGAGGAGAGTTCTTGAATTACTTGATTATGCCAGGAAGAGAGAAGCTAAAAAGGTAATTTGTAAAAAAGTTTACTAAATTATGTTAATCATGCATTTTAAAAATGCTTTCATTTAACATGACTCACTAGAGTGAGTGTTAGACCATGCCAAGGCCTGTTTGTATACAACCTTTTTGAGCAAGCAACCTACACAGAAATGGACTTTTTACTATGTATTTTTATTTATTTTATATTATTCCTTTTTTTATTTTATACTGCTAGTCTTTACCTAATGTTCTTTAAGATTTCTTACATTTTGAAAATGAGTATAAATAAATTATTTATTGTTTTACAGAATATGTTCAGACAGCTTCAAGTTCTTTTGGGTCTTTTCAAATCCTATAAACCCGAATGTGTACCTGAGGATATACCTGCGATCTCCATCCATACAGCTTTCAAGAAGATCAACCCAGATCTTCTGGCTAGATTCAAAAGAAATCAGGTAAAGAGCTAAGAAAAATATCATTCTCATTAATGACATAATACTTGTAATCTTTGTTATTTTCATGTAATATAGCTGCTATTAACCCATTATTAAAATTACGTCATTTAAGTGCTGTAATCTTAATATTTTGGAGGATTTGGTAATTAATTTAACAACAGCCACTGTAGAATACAACTAGAATTCAAACAAGCCTCATATGCAGAGTAATTGTGAGTCTTTATGAGGCATAAAATAAATGAAATAATAATTAATGAATATCTTTATAATTGCAGGAAAACAGGAACTCAGTCCGCAGAGAGAGACATCATTTAACATGGATCAATCCTATTAATTCTGTAAGTATTTAAGTCTACATATTGTTTTAAAAAAGTCAAGTTATGGAATAAACTATTACATCTTTGTTGTAATCATGGTAATAATTGATTAATTTATCTATGCATTCAAGGAAATTCAAAAAGGTATGTTCAATATCTTTGCAATAATGAATTTTTAAAAGAATCTGTTTACAACTTTTTCTTAATTTACAGGACCGTGGCCGCAACAAGAAGGTAGATCCACTAGTACCAAATGTTGAGTTTTTGAATATTGGCTCAAAACAATATGCAGAAAAGGAACACCAGAAGAATTTCTTAGATTTCACAGAGTAAGTGTTTTGTTTGACCAAATTCAACTTCTTTGGGTTTATATATGAAATTGTCATTTTTAGTAGCAAATTCATAGCCAAAACCTTAATGTCATGAGAAAAACCTTTTGAACTACTTTTTTAATTCGGCACTGACAATAAAAGTAATTTAAATAGTGCATAATTATTCTCTGTACACAAGCTCTTTCCACGTCAGACATACCCCTAGCTCCTTACATAATACTAGCTTTTAATTTTTCAGGTTTCATGTTAATAACATGTTACTAAACGAGTATTTAAACAAAAAGTATAAATACTTTAGTAAAATTCATTCCAAGGTATTTTAATGAGTACTTTTCGCGTTAATACCCATTTAATAATATGTTGTCCTTACATAATAGTTGTAATTTTTGAGTATATAAGAAATCAAGGTATATAATCTATATTTTATAACTAAGCACTTGTACATATTCCCTTATACAGCCCAGTGTCAGTGCTGCAATGCAGTGTACAGCGCTCCACGTCCCGGCCGGCGCGGATACGAGCTCTGTTGTGCAACGCGACTGGAGTGGCGCTACTGGCCGTAGCATCGCACACGGAACAAGAGTTCTTATCCCATGATCTTCATCATCTGCTTAACAGCTGTAAGTAACTTACCTAAAATAATCTATACTTCTATACTAATATTATAAAGAGGTAAAATTGGTAAGTTTGTAAGTTTGTATGTAGTGGGTAAGCTTTGGAACCGCTGGTTGGATTGCCAAAATTCTTTCACTGATAGATAGCTACAATGTTCCTGAGTGCTATAGGCTTAAAACACCAAGCTACGATCAAATGGAGTCGAGCAGCGGGTGGAACCGCGCGAGAGTAGCTAGTATTGAATAAAAAGTGTGGGAGAGTCAAGCTTCGGCAGGAATGGGCCTGCTCGACCGGAGTGATACTACAGAAAACCCCCGTGACACAACATTTACGTGGTGTTTCGCGGTGTGAGTGAGGTTACCGGAGGCTTAATTCTTCCCCGTCATCCTCAATCCTCAAATCCCTAATAACCCACAAGACGTCGACAATGCACTTGTAGTAACTCTTTTAAACTTGTAATACACAAGTGTCCATGGACGGCAGGTAATCCGCCTGCTCCTAATAATAAATTAAATGAATATACAAGTAATTAAATAAATCTGTTTGTTACCAATTGATGAGTTCTAAATTCAACTAAGCAAATTAAAATATTGCAAACATTTAGTAAGAAGTATGGAGAAAGACATTGACTAAAATAATTTATCAAAAAAAAAAAAAAATCATTTATTCCAATTAGACTTTTACAGGCACTTTTGAACGTCAAACAAAATTTAAAATAAAAAATAGTGTCAGTCTGTCGGTCGGTCCTCTGAGTGAAGCTATTTGCTCGTAACAACATAGCCAAAAGCTCAAATTCAACCCATTTGTGTGTTATGTTACCTGCTAAATGTGTCTGTTGATGAAGACACATGGGTCGCTAACAAAATCAGTTATTGTAATTTATATCTTGTGTTAGTAAATATACATTCCTTTTTCACAGGTTTCCTGAATATATCACCACACAGCTATGTAGAGAAGCAGGATCTGCTGCACCGTTTAGCGGTATTACAACATACTCTGATGCAGGGTATACCAGTCATCACAAGATTCCTGGCTCAGTACCTGCCCTTGTGGAACGAGAGGGATTTCTTCGCAGAGGTATATTTCGTTATATACAGCACGCCTTTAATATCTCGTAGAAGTTGACGTGTCTGTACATATTAAACGGCCCTTTTTCGCGATAAATTCAGGCAAACTTAACATGATACACCATACACGGAAAAATCGCTGTGATAAACACGAACTCAATAATATAAATACGTCTTCTGGTTCGATAGTGTATTTTTTGGTTTTAAGTTTTGGAAATTTTGGATATTAGTGCAGACATTGGAATATTATGATTAGCATATAAAATAGAGTTGTTTTGTGTTTAATTTCATTGTCAAGTATATAATGTTTTTACTCTCTCTTAGATAATGGAACTGGTACAGTGGGTGAGCCTGGACAGTCCAGATCTCGTGATGTGTTTGGTGGAGCCCCTTGCGAAGGCCTACCACAGGGCCCAGCCTATAGAACAGTGCGCCATACTCAGAAGTCTCAACCAAATGTACTGTAATCTGGTAAGTGATATTATTATTAAACTTATTTAATATGCATATTTTTGATTAGCGTACGGCGCGTAGCGTTCCGCGCACGCCTCAAAGAGCCAATAGACAGACGGGCCCTACAGGGCTGATGTTCAGCTGGGGTTCGTGGGGGGCATCGTGTCCTCGCACTAAAACAGGAGAAGGAACGGGGGTTTTTAGCCCGTAAGAGTCTGACACTTTCTCTTGCCTTCTGGGCGGGGCCCTCATTTGATGATTTTCCCCTGACAAAAAAAGCTTGAATTTGTTTACTCTGAAAGAAAGTTAAAGTGTATTATATAATCATACATGCATTAACTCTCACGCCTTTGTAATTATGTAGGAAAAAGCTATTCAGCACCACCTATTATTACTTCTTTAGATTATACGACCTTCAAAGTCCCACTCGAATACTTCGCATCAGAATGAAAAGTCGTCTTGATCTCCTATAACTAGATATTTTTGTCCGCCAGGTATATGCCAGTACTAGGAAACGCCATCATTTCATGGGCACGCCACCGTCGCCTCAGGTTTACGCACAAGTATTGCCCAAAGTGGCCACAGCCATTAGTGACATGTGTGACAAAGAATTACAAGTCAATCCAGGTAAGTGTTCATCAGTAATATGTTTATTTTCGCCCATAATCAATTCCCATTTAAACTGATCATTTTACTTCATTAATGGTTATTTCAATGTATTGACAGCAGGAAAATACTAGTCAGCGAATTTGGTCACAGATTAATATCATAGGCATTTCGTCACTATATTATGTATCCAACGTCTATAGCTCGAATTTTTGAATGAGAGCGATGAAACGATAAGAGGGAGCACGTAAATGTGTTTGCTCATCATTGCATATCTCATCTTGTCTGTGAGTTTATTACGATGGTAAAGTGGGATAAGAAATTGTATGTTTATATTTTGCTTGTGCAGAGCAAATGGTAGTGGTGCATAGTAGCGTGCAGGGCGCGGCAGTGCGGGCGCGGGGCGAGGCGCGCGGCGCGGCGCCGGCCGGGGCGCTGGCCCCCGCACTGGCGCTGGCGCTGCCCCTACTCGGCGTCTCCGCTGCATTACTCGACTCCGTTGCAGAGCTCATGATACTGTAAGTTTACCATCTCCCAATCTCATTCCATAGTTTCACCATTTACATCACTAGATGGCGCTAGTGATAGCTAAAATTCAGTAAGGGATAGTGTCGAAAAAGAAATATAACAAGATTTATATTGAATGAAATGTTTTGCCAATTCGTGTAAGTCGGTAGTTTAGGATGCCTTAATCAGTCAAACGTGGAATCGCTACTCACTTAACCCTAATGAATGCTCGAAATTCGAAGGATTAAAATAGATCACTAGCTCATAATGGAAAAAGAACTTTACCTCTGCAACTTTATCAGTGTTATTTCACATTTTTTCAATCGCCATTTTATTTTCAGATACAAGAAAATATTTACAACCGCCAAACAATCGAACTTAATAATAAAAAGCGACACATTTGAGAAACAGATGCAAGTACTAGAAGCCTATACTTCGGATTTGATCAACTGTTTGTATAGTGAAGGAGTACTAAGCGACAGAAACTTAGGGTTTGTGTTCAGCAAATTACACCCGCAACTTGTTGAGAAACTTGGCTCGTTAATGCCTGACGTTGACGCTAAGTTAAGTATTAGAAACAGTATAGCATTTGCTCCATATACGTATATACAATTAGACGCTATAGACCACAGAGATGCCGATAATAAGCTTTGGTTCAACGCCGTCATTGAACAGGAGTTTTCCAATCTCAGTCGCTTCTTAAAAAGGGCCGTAACTGAACTGCGGTACCAGTAGAGGGCAATGTACCCCAGTGTTTTTTTATATGTACAAATTATTCATTTAATCTTTTACCACCGATAGTGCCAAGTATAAGGGTAGGTTCATGTAACATACCTTATTTGTAGCTCACCCAAACTAGTCAAATTGCCATACTGCTTGGCGATTGAGCTTTTCCCAGTAATGGAAGTGTAAACTATTTTGATTTCTTCTCCTCTAATATTAAGTTCTGATTTATCTTGTTGCGGTATCGAAGACAGTTGTTCATGTAACCTGGGCCGCGCCGCCTTCGGTGTTTCGCTGATCTTCATGGTTGTCTACCTTAAATCCTGACTTACGTTGTTACGGCTTTGGCAAGCCGTGAAAGGAGTGTCTCAATAAAAAAATATATAAAAAATGTGACCCTGGCTCGTAGGCGTGCTGTGTATTGCCATGTGCTCTATTAGCTCTATATGACTCCATAAATCCTTCTAGAATTTTTTTTGCCCAGTGCAGCCATTCCTATAACATTGCGTCAGTCTTCTTTATCAAACTACGTAGTAATGTAGCAAATAAAAAAAGAAATTCTAGTTCTAAAAAATAAATAAATGACGACATTGTTATACCCTATTCTGCTACATGAAGAAGTATGTTTTCGCAGGCGGTTATAATGTCAATCGAAATTTGGAGGACGTGGTACTTTTATACCCTATTTGGAGGGTAAATAGGAAGTGCACTCATTTGCTATCCGGAATTTGTTGTTGGTATGAACAAAATATCATAATGTATTTTGTACTTTAAAGTTGAAGAATATTGTTGATAGTGTAAAAAACACTTCATCTTTTCTTGTGTCAATTGATTGCAAATGGTTTTATGATACAGACTTTTGCTTATTAAGTAATTAGTTTTGATTACAAATACTTATTTTTAGAACTCGACGGGTATTATTGAATACATAAAGCTATTCAGAAATATACTTGGATTCTTATAAAAAGGGCCATTTTAAATGAAGTTTTAAGCGTAGAAATGTAAGATGCGATCGTGTGAATGTTTTATGTAAAGTAGCTATTACGATAGCAGTTTTAATCGATAATTACTTATTAATTATGTTGTCTTAATATTTTCATTATAATAAAGAAATAAGTAAAAAGTATGGTTTGTTTTTTTACACCCTTATTCACCTATTTCTATATTATCTTTTATCTAGAAACATGGTATAAACGTGGTATAAATTTGGCCATTATTTGTAGAAATAGTTAGCCTAATGCAAGATTGAAAATAACGACGAAACTGAGAAAAGCTCTACTAGTTTCAAGTCACATCGGGACTCATATTCATGAGCAGCGTGCGCGTCGCGGAGAATTTTACATCTTTTAAACAAAGCTACATTTAATGTGAAGTAATTATTCGTTACTGATTTTGAATGAAAAATTTTCTGTGTTTAAGAAGTGAAATAAAGAGTCCTCGGATTTATTGTTACCTATTTCTCTAGTTATAAAATTAAATAACAACAACAACAAGAAGTATGGCGTCGTAGAAGAATAAATCTCTGAGTTCCTTGCATACATAATAGATTAATCGGTTTTTATGGCTACCAATTCCGTTAAATCCCTCTCATCAGCATAATTTTCTGTGCTTATCTTTTTATTAGTAATTTAACTAGTACCGAAACAGTTTTGCTAAGTGTTAAAACAAGAATAAGTAGCTCTAGAATTGTAATTAGGTTTCTAAACTGTTATAGCAAATGTCGTCACATAAAGTTTGCTCTGGATTTGAAATAAAAAGAGGTATCCATGCCTAAGGCAAGAATTTAGTATTCAACAACGTAAATGTTTTAGTAGTTTACTAAAGGATTTCCAGGTATAGGCATACCTACATAAAATAAAGCGTTAACAAAAAAGAAACAAATAAGTACCTACAGATTTAATCTTCATTGTCACGATAAAGTGTTTTAACGAATCAAAAATAATAATCATACAAAAATGTGTTAAAAGTTGTCTAAAACAGAAAACAGGGGCGCAAACAGTTCTTCACAAAGAGATGTAAGTTACTTTTCCATTTCCTCTTGTTACTGGTGCTCATTTATTTTTCGTGGTCCGTTCGAAAGCATAAATTATGGACACCGTGGCTGGAGACTGCTACGTGGCGGGGTGTCGCCGGCGCGGGCCGGAGCCGGGTCCACCCCACGACCGCTCGCCGCCCTTCGCCTCAATGAGAAATGTTTCAGGGCCTTTTGTCCCCTTATGCCCCTTTTTGCGAGCGACATCTTCAAGGATACTGTGTTAATCGGACCCTGCGATACTTTTTGTGAATGTCGTCTACGGAAGTCGACTGGAAAAACTGATATTATTTTTGTCAGCTCTGTTTGCTTTTGATTGTGGTTTGCCAGCTGTCGTATTGCCTACGTCAGTTATTCTTTACATAAAATTTATTCCAGATTTAACGAATCCCTCGTATTTGGAATAGGAATTGTTCGTTCATTGTTCTAGTAACTTGCACTTGCGTACTTCCTGCTGGGCTTATCAGAGTTTCGTTCGTGTTGTGTTTCTTTGCCGGAAATTTTGAAGTATTAAAGTAAAGTTAGCATTTCAACACCGACATTCAAGTTTGTAAGATTAATTAAGATTTAATCATTAAAGTCGTAATATACCTACTTTGTATCCTTAGTTCCTAGCTACCAGTAATTTATACCTGGAGTCAAATTTATTTTTTCCGATAGTCTCGCAATTGTTTACGGCCAGGTAATATGTGTGCCTTTCATATTTTAATTAAGTAATGTTTACATTCATTGAAAAATATATTTATTTGCTAATAGATATTATTTTATTGATAAGGAAATAGTGAAGTAATGAAGAATGAGGTCGTGGTGGCCTGGAGGTTAAGGAGCCCGCTTCTCATGCATGAGGGTGTGGGTTCGAAACCTGGCAAGTACCAATGTGACTTTTTCCGAGTTATATGTACTTTCTATGATTATTTAGACACCACTGACATACGGTGAAGGCAAACATCGTGGGGAAACCTGGACTTATAATTTCTAATTGTAAGTTTGAAATCGCCAACCCGCATTGAGCAAGCGTGGTGATTAATGCTCAAACCTTCTCCTTGTGAGAAGAGGCCTTTGCTCAGCAGTGGGCACTTATAGGCTGATGATGATGATGATGATGAAGTAATGAAGTTTTTAAAACCACATGGGTTAGGTATACCTAGGTGTGCACATGTTTATAGAATTGAGAAGGCGTATCTTAACGCAGGTGGTGGTGTTACATAAATTAGTAATAAGACATTAATCGTTCTCGTAGCCTAATATGTGAACGAGGTGACAGCCCTAGTTGCCTTAACAAAACACCTACAATTCAAGATAAGCACCATCTCGTGCGACCGTAAAACTAATAAATATTTATTCAAATAACCACCGAGCGTTACATTACATCAAGAAAAGGAATATTCTCGTGTGACTTAACGTAAAACGCGGTGCGGTCTCACAGATCCCGGTGGGTTGTTTCTGCGGGTAAAAATATGCGCAACTGGTAACAATTGATAGGGGTGGCGGCGAGAAGGGTGCACTAGTTCATATCTCGCGAGGAGAACCCTTTGCAACCCCACTTTCCTTTTTATCCCTACTCAAAAATCGCTTCGGGAGACTTGTTTTCGTTGCGAAGTAACTACTGCTCCCATTTTTGCCAAATTTTTGTTTGGGGTGAAATGGATTGCGTAGCCGTCCACATCGTTTGTGTGATAATAAAATATAAGCAGTTGTATAAAATTATCACCGTTATCGTATACCTAAGCAAGATTTATAGGCGGATTTTACTTAGTGAAGCAATTGTAGAATTTAGATAAACTTAGGTAAGATAGGTACTATTTAATACAATTGGGTAGTTTCCTAATTTTTGATTTTTTGGCGCTTATTTTTTGTAGGTAAAGTGGCTATGGTGTTTATTTTGAAGTAAAAATATTTTGACGTCATATATCGCGATCTCCTAATTAGATAGGTACTCAATTCATAGAAAAGTATAGTTTTTTGAATTTCAATCATTAATTCAGGCAATTTTGAAATTGATTAATACTTATAATAAACATCAATAGATAGTTTTTTCAGCTTATTCTAAATCATAATCTAATTTCATATTAATGATTGTTTCGACTGACATATAAATTTGATATTCAAATGCCCATGAACTAAAATGTCTGTATTCCAAAGGCACGTACTGCACTGATTTGCGGTTTATGTGGGACTAACGCGCTCTGTATGTATGTGGATAGAGATAGACATCCAAACAGCGTGTGTTTCCAAATGTCAAAGCCCTTATAAACCTCTGAGATCTGCAAACACGAGTGTTGAATCGTGTTAGTGTAGGCGAAAGCTCACCCGGCTGCTGTCTGTACCCGAATCGATAAAATTCGGGTCCGCGCCCCCGTGCGTTGCTACGGCAACGCGCCCCGAGTTCCCTCCAGCCACCACCCCGCCGCATCTCCGAGAACACCGATGTTGACTTAGACGGATAGGGTAAGAGGCTTATTAATGGTTTTATGTTACTTCAATGTTGTACAAGGAGCTACATCAAATACTTCGTAAGTTCTATAGCCGTTTTCGTACCTATCTACTCATTAAAAAGAAGAGAATAAATAAGAATTGATTGGATTTCACCGAACGGCAAATATTTCCTCAAAGCGAACGGTGAGTATTGAACATCGTAGGAAACGGGAGAGACTGCAAATAATGGTGGAACATTTCCAGGGAGCGATCGCCGCCATCTTGCTAGACCGCGTGACGCCAGCCATTACAAATCGGGTGCGTTCACGTCGTGCCCCGTGTCGGCAACTCGTCTGCATTATTTTCATCTGAATTCACATTTCATCTGCGAAGTGTGAATTATTTAAATTACATTTCAGCCTGCCAATTCTAAATGGAAATATTGTGTAGACTTATAGTTGGCTAATGTAGTAGTACTACATTGTTTTTTTTCTTTCTGGAAAATGTCTACAATTTTTTTTTGAGATATATTTTTGAATGAAAAATAGTAAAATCTCTTTTTTTTTCGGGTATTATCATTTATTTACCTTTGGTCTACATAAATAAATGACCTAAGTAGTAGGTAATGCTACACAAAGCCCAGCCCTAGCAAATCTATATTGCCCATAGTTCATAAAAATTACGTTCATAAACAAATTTGTCTGGCACATATTGGTTATGCAGATATTGTGAAACACACCATAATAATAATTTTGATTCTGTTGGTCCTAAAATAAAAAATGGGTGTGCAAAAATATAGGTTTGTGTTACGAGTTCAAAATGTGTGGATCCAACGATTACCCAAATAAGTTAGTGGCACGATCCCGCATTACAAGTAGGAGCCGCGACGCAGCATCGTAATGCGGGGCGCGTGTCC